CTAGAATGCAGTCCGGAGGTCAATTTGCCCCAGCGGGATCCTGGTTTTCTCGATGTGGGGGACGTGCATGTGGAGACGGCTGAGGGAGGCATGAGATTCTCTTTCTTTTCTTTCTACTTTTCCAAATTTTCTGTAATGATCATGTAAACCAAGCTTTTAAAAAAGGAAAGTGAAATTATATCCTGTTAAAATAGGAGAAAAATCAACTTTACTTTTAAACCTGTTTCACAAAGGATTTGAAAGCAATGAACTTTTTTCTAAAAAAAGAAAACAGTTGTGAAAGATCTTTGAAAGTTAAATGCTTCGACAGTAAGCAGAACCTTCTGTTTGCTGGCATCACTTCAAGGAAGGGCCGTTTGATTCTGTTAACTGGTGCATTTCATTTTAAAAAGTCCCTGGAGAAGCCGTCTTAGGCAAGAAGGTACAGGCGCCAAACTTCAGAACTGCTGGGCGCGGGGGTGTTTAGCAGGTGCTTCAGCATGGCATGGTGTTTAACCCCCCCCTTCTGGCCTTCTGGGAGTCAAAGCCTCGCAGGTCTCGGTGAGTTAGAGCTGCACTGGGTGATGTTTGCCCAAGCAGCACCAAAGAGAGAGTTCATCAACAAACTCAGAAGAGAGAAGCAGCTACTGTGTGGTCTCCTGTCTGTTGGGGTCCCTCTGGGAGGACGGAGCCCACCCCAGACCTGAGGATGGAGCAAGACCTATTCCTTCCAGCGTGGAATAGAGAGCCTTGGATCTGAGGTCAAGGGGCTTGAGTCATACGTGGCTACAGAGTAACTCTCAGTGTGATCCTGGCCAAGCCAGCACTGGACCTCCCTGGGCCCTGGGTTCCTCATCGTGAAGTGGGGATCATAACCTTTATCTTCTTCCTCACAGGTACTGTGAGGAACAGGCAGGACGAGGGTGTGAAAGTATTTTGCAAACTCTAAGGGGTTCCGCAGACGTGTGAGATTGTGACAAGACATGATCTGCAGGCGTTTCTCGGTTCTAAGCAGTACCTGGGTGCTCTGAGTACATCCACACCTACCCTGGGCTGGACACATAATGATAACCATCACGATACCAATACTAGCTAGCATTTTTGGGCGCTGTGTGCCCCCGCACTGTTCTAAGTGCTTTACGTGCATCACCTCATTCTAAGTAGAAGAAGGTTATGGGTTTTTGGGGGGGGAAAGAGATTGGAGAGTCAATGGGAGTTCATTGAGAAAAACAAGAACTCAGTAATTTGATTAGAATGGTGTGGGGGGTTTTTTCCTTGAAAAAAATGGATTTAAACAGAAGAGTCCAACCTGTTTGATGGCAACATTCTAATGTGTCTGCTGTTTGCCTCTGTGGCTTTGTTTCTCTCTTTAGATAACTTCCTCTGAGTCCCAGGTGCTGTGTTAGAGTTTTAATTTCACGGCTTGTTCTCTGTGATGTTCCAAACAAACATAGTAACTTCTGCTACTTTCTTCCTATCCTGATGGCCACTTCTGACCATCCCTCTTGCTACTCTTCAGCTGTGGTGCCTTGTGCTCCATCCTTCCTCCTGCACTCCTGCTTCGCCATACAGCTTCCACAGCCCCGTCCTTCCTACCTGCATTAGTTTTCTGTTGCTAACTTCACATCTTAAAACAACATACACTTACGATCTCAATTTTCAGGGTCAAGAGGTTGGGCGCAGCTTCTCTGCACAAGGGTCCTCTGCACAAGGGCTCACAAGGTGGCAGTCGTCACTGCAGCTGGGCCATGTTCTCATCTGAAGGCGTGCCTGGGAAGGATCCGCTTCCGAGTTTACTCAGGTTGTTGGCAGAACTCATGTCCTTGTGGCTGCTGTATTGAAGGCCCTGGCTTCTCGCTGGCTGTCAGCTGGAGGCCACTCTCAGCTCTGAGCAGCCACTTGTAGTTCCTAGAGACTGCCTGCAGTTCTAGAAGCCACCCACAGATCTTTGCCACGTGGGCTTTCCCAGTGTGGCTCTCCTTGATGGAGAGCAAGTCTGCCAGCGAGATAGTCTTAGATAAGATGATACAAGCACAGGAGTGACGTGCCATCACCTTTACCATGTTCTGCTCGTTAGAAGCAAGTCTCAGGTTCTGCTCATACTCAAGGAGAGGGTCACACCAAGATGTTACTACCAAGAGACAAAGATCATGGGGATACCTCAGCATCCGTGCAAGACACCACCTATATCAACTTCTACTTCACTGCTTTCCTTCGAGTGTGTTTTAAGCTCTCTGTAATTCGGTTTTGCCTTGCTTCTCCCAATTACTTTCACTTTCTTCTTAATAAATACCATCTACCACTCATTTCCCTCCTCAAAATTTTTCTTTCCTTCTTATCCCTTCTATGACACAACTTTAATTAATATAGATATATTTTATTTATTAGCATTGACATAATTTTTAAATCTTGCATATAAAACAGAAGTAGTTTTCATTGAAATTAAGAGTTCTTAACTGTTTTTCTGCTTCTGAATCCTTTTGAGAATCTAATTAAAGCTATAGAGACTCACTTCCCAGAAGTGAGGCACCCAGCCCTGTCGTCTGCCGGTCACCACTGCTGCGCTGCAGACTCCCCCGGCTCAGTGTTGTCATTGTGTTATGCTCATGGGTTCGGGGATTCAGACAGAGCGCAGTGGGGATTGCTTGTCTCTGCTTCATGATGACTGGGAGCTCAGGAGGGAAGACCCAGACAGCCGGGGTGCTTCAAATGGTTGGGGGCTCGAATTATCCGGAGGCCTCTTCCTTCGCTGTCTGCTGCCTGGGCTGGGCTGACTGGGAAGCTTGGCTCGGCTGGGACTTTTGACTGGAGTGCTGACACGTGGCTTCTCCATGTGGCTTGGGCTGCTCACAGAGTGGAGGCTGGGTTCCAGGAGGAAGCATATGGAGAGCAGGCCTTCCAAGAAACCAAGTGAAAGCTGCCTGGCCTTTCATGACGATGGCGTTACTTCTGCCAGAGTCTAATTGGTTGAACAGTCTCAAGCCTGCTCAGGTTCAAGGGGAGGGCACACACCCCTCGCCTCTCAGCGGGAGGCATATAGGAGAATTTGCAGCCATTAAACATGGACAAACACAAGCATTATCCTGAACTCTGAAAATTGAAAGGGACCATGAAGGATGATCTATTTCAGTCTGCTACCATGGCTCAACTCCTCTTTACCACTTTCCTTTCATCCCATGCCTGGACCACTGTGGGTGTCTCCTCACTGGCCTCCTGTCATCCACTCTTGCCCTTTCCAGTCTATTCTTCACCCCATAGCCAGAATGGTTGTTCTAGAATCCGGATTTGCTCCTGTGCATTCACCCATCCTCACCTCCATCCCCATACTCCACTTCAAACCAGATTTTCTGACTTTAAACTCTTGGCTTGTTTGTTTCTGTCAGATGGTTCTAATGTTTTTAGCTAGTAATGTAGAAAGTTCTAGAAGTACTTTTTCTTTCTTTTTAATTTGAATTATTATTTAAGGGCGTCTAGCCACCTCTGGGGTCATCAACACCATCCACACCACAGAACCATGGGAAGGGACACCAGAGAATCAGTAGGCAGGTGGTGGTTTCTCTTCTTCTTCTTCCTTTTTTTTTCTTTTGGTGAGGAAGATTAGCCCTGAGCTAATATCTGTTGCCAATCTTTCTTGATTTTTTTTGTTTTTCTGCTTGAGGAAGATTAGCCCTGAGCTAACGTCTGTGCCAGTCTTCCTCTACTTTATATGTGGGTTGCTGCCACAGCATGGCTGACGAGTGGTCCACGCCCAGGATTCCAACCTGTGAATCCTGGGCTGCCAAAGCAGAGTGAGCCAGACTTAACCGCTACACCACTGGGCCAGCTCCTGTTTCTCTTCTTGAGTGTGAAATTTCCAGCTTTCTGACCAGTTGTTCCCTTGCCTCCTTTCCGATGGGGTCGCCACTTTGTGTCCTGTCCACTTGCCTTTCTGCCCACAGTTTCTCACTGTAGCATCAACAGTCTGTATCTCTGGAGGTGCTCTCAGCACCACCAGGCCTTGTGAGCAGCGACTCTAGTCCTGGGTGGGATGTGAATAGTTCTTCTTTCGGAAATAGCCTAATCTGAAAGACATCCCCTTTGCTATTTGAATGGCATGAATGATAGTGTCAGAAATCCTTTTAAATCCAGCAAGATAAATTTGTCTCCTGGGTGCCATCTTCTGGACATACGTGACCCCAGTCATTCTGCTTGAGATGCCTTCGGGTCCTGAATAGACATCTCCCTCAGACACACAGTCCTTTTATTCTCCGCTTTGGGTTCTTGGATGAGGTGTATTTTGGTGTCGCTGGCCATGGCAGGAAGATACGTTCCTCTTTGATGCAGGCTGTGGCTTTCACAGTGCAACCCTTGTGGGTGGTACAGAAAAACGATTTAAAACACAAGGTGTCTTCCCCGTCTTTGCTTAACCATCCATCCCTCAGAGACTCCTCGCCAGCCCTGCCCTGGAGGTTAGCTGCAGTGTTTGCGTGTCATCATCACTGAACTCATTGTTTGAGTGTGTTAATGAGTCTTCTGTGCTGGGGTAGAAGTTCCGTGACGTCTGAGCGCGTGGCCCTCTCTTGTTCCCCCTTCTCTCCAGGACCTCCCACAGCAGGTACTTAACGGTTATCTGAGGCCTGACTGGTTGATCTTTTGTTTCACAGGGACAGACAATCTACAGGCCACTGTCACCCCCACCCCAGAGCCATTTCCTCACGGGAAATTGTTACCGATGTCACCAACATGGCCTTTCTCAGAAGTCCAGTCTTCCTCGGCAGTGGACAGGATCAGGAGTGCGCTGGGACCGTCCCCTGACAACGCCAGCGTGCTGCTGCTCACCCGAGCACCTGAGCCCGGGACCCAGCGCAGAGCCAGGGCTCACGGGGACTTCCCTTCTCCCTCGTACCAAGGAAGTGGACACAGCACCTCCCTCAAGCCTCCCAAGGATTCCTCTGAGTCTTTGGCCCAGCCAGGACCTCAAGGGGGAAAAGAAGCAGCTGCCGTGTCAGGTTTGCCCCACACCAGCATGCTCCCCGGGTTGTCCACTCTCCCATCAGTGTCAGCCTTGAGCGCTGTCCTCCTCTCTCAGCCAGTGTGGGTAGGGACTCCTTTCATTTCAAAACAGCGTTCCCCAAGGTCAGACGTTCTCCCACTGCTCCCCTCAGCTTCATCCTCCCCATTGGCTCCAGTCTCACCTCATTCCATCATCTTTTCTAAGCCAGCAGAGCGACCCACCAAAGTGCCTTTATTCCCCCAAACAGCCCTGACTAACTCCTCTTCAAGTCAAAGCAGAGCTAATCCCTTAAGCCCATCTGCCGAGAAAATGAGCCATGCTCCGTCCAGAAATGCCCGGCATTCGCTAGGCATGCCTCGTCTAGGTCTGTCTGGATCCTCCACAGAGCAGTACTCTGAGCCGTTCCCCACAGAGCGTCCTCACTCAGCAGGCTCCCCCACAAGTGAGATTTTGAGCTCCGAGGCACAGCTGGCCCATCTGTCTCCCCCTCCCCTGCGGCCTGGACGTCTTCAGCTTCCGGGTGAAACCCCCTCCTGGTCAGTGTTGAAAGTCGCCTCCAGTCCTGCAGCCACCCCGCCAGTGGAAGCTGAGGTGGCTGAAAGAGTGCACACACGGGTGTCTTTGCCAGCTTTCAGGAATGGAGCAGCAGCAGCCATCCGAGAGGCCAGGCCTTCACTTTCCCAGACTGTGGGGTCTGCAGCAGTAGAAAGGACCAGCAGAAAGCCAGTGCCTGCTACTGCAGACAACTCTGCTAAGCCCCCACTCCTGTCCCCAGCTCCTGAGAATTCCGAAGGGCCCACCCTTTCGGCAGGACACTCATTTTCCCCTGTGGTGCCTTTCTCTCCGCCTCTCACCACGTCCAGCCAAGGGCAAGCCAGCCTTTCCGGGGCGGTTCCTGCACCGCCGTCAGACAGCTGGGCAGCAGACCCTCCCGCCACGCGGGCTCTCCTCCAGCAGGCACAGAATCATGCCTCCCCCTCTGCCGTGCCCTGAATGCCAACTCCTCAAGAGGAGGGCGACGCCAGATCCCTCCTGCTGCAGCTACAGACTTCCTGCTCTCAAGCAAATTTCCTGGTCTTCTTCCTTCAGCTTGGACTTTTCCCCCGCACAAAGAAGAGGGCCTGACAGCTGTTCTAAAGAAAAATGAAGAGGCAAATTTGACAGTTGCTCTCCAGATGCATCTAAGTAAGGAGATTCCCAGTCTTCACACTGTAAATAGACTCACTTCTACTTTTAGCATTGATCACGTTCCATCGACTGTCGTTACAACACCAAGAACGCTTCTCCTTCCTTCACAATTACCTCCACCTTCCATCCCCTCTGTACGATCCTCCCAGACTGTTTCCCCATCTCCCAGCTTTTCCAGCACCAAGCCAGAGACTCTCACAGCTGCGATGGGCCATTCTGAGTTGCCAGTTTCAGCTTCCAAACAGGTGACAGCATTTCCCTCCTCTGGCGAGGTCTATGATTTCTCAGCAACAGGAGACGGGACAAAGCCATCATAGATCTTTTCTGGAGTTCTTTTTCGCCAGAAACGGGATCCCTTCCCACAGAACCAACAATGTATGGCCTGCTGCAGCAAATGAATTATGACTTAAATGAGCACGTAATTAACTCCACAAGTTGGAAAACTCATTCAGCTTCAACTACTGCTGCCAGCGGTTTAACGTCAGCTGCCAGTACAATCAAATCTCAAGCTGTCAAAGATACCACTGGGCATCTACCACCTGCAGAAGCCTTTGGCATTCGGGATCCCGTCCTTGGCACAAGCTCCAACCAACCCTTTCAACAGTCAGATGTTGCTGTGGTTGGGAACCACACAGACTTCTTGTCCATAAACAATAACAACCATTTGGGAGATTTCCAAACAGCTGAGGTTGAAGATTACCCATCTACAAGTCAACGGTCTGTGTCTCACCACCACCTGCAGCTGCCTGCCCATCCAGCACAGCCTCTCTTGTCGACTTCTCCAAGTCTAAGTTCCACAGCTAGCTTGCAGGACATGCTTTCCAGTGGAATAGATACAAATTCCCAAATTCCCAGTGACATCTATCCATCTCCTGTGATAAATGCTTCCACACCATTCCAGAGTATCCAGAGATACCTCTCTGCTCCTGAGTCTCCTCCTCTCTCAACCAGCGCCTTATTCAGGACCCCATCCAAAGTACTGCTGGCTTCTCAGCACCCTGAGAAATGGACAGGTGCAGCCACTAATGCAGGTAGTTTGTTTCCTGGCACTAAAAAACAGGTGTGGCTGCTTCAGTGGCCAAAGCATCTTCAAGCTCAACACAGGCACCCCGCTTTGCTCAGAAGGAGCAGGCACACCCTTTCAGGATGGAGACTGAGTTAGCAGCCCCACTAGGCATGTCCTTGATTCTCTGCTGAGTTGATTTTTTGGAAAGTATTTACAATTCAAGCGTCCTTATTACCAACTGTAGCTTTGCTATAAGTGGCATTCTCATTATGGTTAATCAACTTAATGAGCCTAAGGCTGTTTTGCCTAAATTCAAGAACACAGAGACTTTTCACCCGAGCAAACCCATAAGTTACATCCATTCATCACCATGACAAGGGACCTGTGCACTGTGGGCCAATGACAGACTTTGCTTTTTCTCTCTTTGCAGTGGACTCCTCAGTGTCGTCCAAGGCAGAACCAACAGCAGCAGCAGCAGCCACCTTGTTTTGGAGGAAACCAAGCTCACCGGCCATGTCTGCAGCTCTAGTTGCTAAGGGTACTGGCGGCAGCTCTTCAGCTGTGGCCTCAGGATTAGTCAAGAGCAGTTTGACCACTGCTCTAGCTAAAAATGTCACCAACACTGCAGCATCTGGCCCAAAGGTGACACCGGGGGCAGCCCATCCAGCCTTCTTGTTCACAGCAGCCTACATGTCTGCCAGAACGGCACCCCCTGTGAGTGCTCACACAGCCATGCAGGGGGATGTGGGCACTGCCTTTGGCCTCCTGTCCACAACACACCTCCCCAGGAAACCACAAGCCATGCACATAGGCCTCCCAACCCCCGCCCAGCCAGACAGTCCCAGGGCGTCCACCACACGCCCGCTGACAGGCCCAGCAGCCTTGACGTCCATTACCGCACCCGTGAGGGCGACGCGGCTGCCACCTGTGCCAGCAGAAAACACAGATGCTGCTCGTCCCGCCGTGTCGACTGCTGTGGTCACGACAGGCAGAGTGGCGTCCAACCTGGAGTGTCAGATGTCCAGCAAGCTCCTGGTGAAGACAGGTAAGAGTCCGCTGTCCTGATTTTACTGAAGAGCAGCAAGCTCATCCCCGCCTCAGAGAAAAAGAAGTATTAGATTTCTTTGAGACCAGTGATTCTCACCAGGGGTGCTCTTTCTCCCTGCCCTCCCCCACCCCCTTGGGGATGTTTGGCCATGTCTGGAGACGTTTTTGGGTGTCTACAACTTGGAGGACAAGGAGGGTGCACCTGGCATCTAGTGAGACGGAGACCAGGGAGGCTGCTAAACATCCTGCAGGGCACAGGACAGTCTCACAACAAAGAGTAATCCAGCCCAAAGTGCCAGCCATGCCGAGGCTGAGAACCCCTGATCTTCACGCAGTGACGGAGCAGAGGAAGGAGTGTTAAGGGACACAGATTTTAGTCCTGGGATCAGTCCTGGTATCAGAGGCCCCTGGCAAACCAGTTCTGCCAGTGACTCTGAGAAAGCAAATGCACACCGAATTTTGCCTGTAGAGCAAGTCAGTGATGTCCCACATGAATGAAGGATGTGATTAGTAAAATACAAAATCTTGGGAGGTACCACAGAAATCAGAAAGGCTTTTTGTCTCATATTTTCTCAATCAGCAGATACTAAAGGTACAGCCGCGGTACTCTCTGTGGGTGCCTGGGATCTCCTTTGGTCTTAAAACAAGGAGACCTTCTTGACAAAGTTGGGTGCTGGGCGCTGTCTTTGCAGCCCCCCTCCCAGTGCAGCAGGCAGGCCAGACGGATGGTGCTCGGGCCGCGCAGCAGTGTGCCGTGAAGAGCGTTAGACACGTTACTGGAAAGAGCATGCCAGCCTTGGATGCTCGCATCCTGCCTTCCTCTTCACCCCACCAAGAATTAAGTGAAATTATATCTCAAGACATAGCCTACTCTAAAACGGGAAATTGTGAAACTAGGCATCGCAGAAAGTACAGTGTCTCTTTCTATTTCTCAAGAAGTGATACCATCTGGTTTTCCACTCCCCCCCCCCCCCCCCCCCCCCTGTGCTTCCTCCTCTGAGGGGCGGATGGCCCCAGCCGCTAGGTGCAGACGTCTGGAACATCCTCCCCGCCCCTTCTTCACAAGCCCCTCACCCCAAGCCACCCCCAATCAGTCACCAGTTCCTTTCAGTTCTGCCTCCTGAGAGAAGGTGCCCCTTCTCTCCACCCCCACCGCCTCTTCCCTCGTTCACACTGTCATCGTCGCTCACCTAAATTTCTGCAACAACAGCCAGATTTATCTCTCTGCCTCCGGACTCCCCCCTCCAATCTGTTCTCCAGTCTGCAGTCAAGGGAACCTTCTGAAATGCATGCCTTTGCTTAAAACCCTTCACTTCCTGTCGCCCCAGGACCAAGCCTAAGCTTGTGTTCTGAAATAGTCACTTCCCTCCCCTCTGTTTGGCACTGTCTTTCCTCTGGTGGGTGTGGGTGGGGCAGTCCCTCCCACCTTAGCCGGCTCACTCCCGTTATCCTTCAGGACTCAGCGGAAGCTCAGTTCCTCCAGGAAGCCTTCCCTGATCCCCACCCCTTTGCCCAGGTCGGGACTGGATGCTTCTCCTGGGGCCTCCAGCAGCATCTTAGGCTTCCCCTCCAATAGCGCCATCACCTGCAATCGCAGATGCCTCTTCTCTGTCTCAGGTCTCCAACCCTGTCTCTGTCCCACTTGTGGGGTGGGGACTGCACCTTCCTGATTCTGGGCTGTTTAGGCCACAGCACCTGCTCAGGGCCTGCACTTAGGTAGGCCCTCTGGGAATGCTGCCCAGGGAATGTCCTTGCATGCAGACCCTCAGGGCAGGCACCGCTGAGCCCAACTTCCAAAGTCAGAGGCAGCATTGGTCAGAAATGAAGTGCCACCAGCATTCTAGCTCTCTCTCCACTAGGGCCACCCAAATGGCCAGGCCTTCTTTCCTTAGGCCTTGAGTGGGCCCAACAGAGCTGCTTCCCCAGGGCCCCCTGTTGTTGGTGGACCTGCGCTCAGCAGCTTCGCTCAGAAGCTGCAGAAGGTGGTGGTGGGGCTGGGTGATTGGAAGGTCTGTGGCCTCAGCTGATTGCCGCGCTTCTCTTCTCCCCGCAGTTCTCTTTCTGACCCAAAGGAGAGTGCAGAGCAGTGAAACCTTAAAGCTCAATATAGCCAAAGGGCTCACGCAGGCCTTGCGGAAGGCCTTCCACCAGGGTGACGTCTCGGCTCACGTAAGACCCTTGGTTTTGTAATCAGCCAGTCCCTGCACGTCTTCCTCCTGGGTCCCAAGTAGGTTTCAGATCGTTCTCCTCCTCCCTGGGTTCCATAGTCACACTGGCCAGAAGGAGGATCTTGCTCATTTTGGCTAATAGCTAATGCATGGTGGCTGCAGAAAAAGGTCACATTTTGAGACGGAAAATTGAGGCTAATGGCCTTATGTCTATGTTTTTTTTTTTTAAAGCCTGGATATACTGTTTTAAATTGTCTCTTTAGCCTGTTGTTTGGGGAATGTATTTAGTATTGTTAGCGTAATTCTCCAGAAACCACCCATTGCTTTTCCCTTTCTCTTCCTAAGCGTTGTAAAGAGTTGGTGATTTATTTCTGGACATTTAAAAATTATTCTGACTTGTAAATTGAATCCAGCTTTGCTTAAATTGCCAGCCACAGATGGGGAAGTAAACATTTTTTCTCTCCAAATGCTTTAATGCCAAGTACTGTTTAATGACTGCTAGCCGATTTCGATGGCTAGCATCGTCCACGCGATGGAGGCCTTGCTTTGTGCTCTTTTGGTTTGACTCCAAGTTTTAAAGCAGTAACTGCGATTGGCAGCCAGTGGACGACCCTCTGCCCCACTTAGCAATGTTGCTCTGTCTCTTCCCTTGAAGCTTAGTGGTCCCCACACCCCCAAGAAAAGGAATGAGGTTTGGGAACCTAGTTCATTGGTCACTGTCAGCCTCTTTTATATAATTCTGAGGGAAAAAAAAGAAAGAAAGAAATGCATCCCATGAGAAGCATCTGTGGTTTCTGCACCAGAAACGTTATTTGAAAGTCGAAAGTGTGCATGTTCCCATTTGGTTGCCTGATAGTTTTCACTAAACTTTGGTCATTTGCAAACTACCTTCACAGTTTTTGCCTTTTCTGCATATCATCGCAGACCACTGTGACAATTAGTACATATTAGTTTTTTAAAAATTAGCTCATTTTTTAAACTTCAATACATTTCTTTAGAAAGGATATTTGATATTGCCATCCTAAATGGAAATCAGGATTATTTGCCACAAGTAAAAAGTAATCATAAAAATGAGAATAATAGGAACATCTTGTTAAATTTAAGCTAGACATTGTTCCTTGCAGGAGGCTCTGTGGCTGAGCTTGGTGTCCCTTTGTTTGTTTGTTTAAAATACAATTAGCAAGATTTTTTTTTTAGTGCCATTGAGTCAATTCCAACTTCTAGTGACCCTGTGTACAATGGAGCAGAACCCTGTCCAGGTCTTGCTGCGCCATCCTCTCACCTTCCAGCACTCTATCGGACAATGCTCTGCTGCTATTCACAGAGTTTTCATGGCCAATTTTTCCACGAGTGAGTGGTCAGGTCCTTCTTCCTAGTCTTTCTTAGTCTGGAAGCTCCATTGAAACCTGTCCACCATGGGTGACACTGCTGGAGTTTGAAATCCTGGTGGCAGAGCTTTCAGCATCACAGCCACACGCAGCCACCACAGTGTGACAGCCGCCATGGTGTGACACCCGACAGACAGGTGGTGTGGGTCCCTGAGCTGGGGAAAAACCTGGGCCAAGGTGGTGAGAGCGCTGGATCTTAACCACTAGACACCCAGGGCTGGCTGGATGAGAGAGGTGTTGAAATAATCCCCAAACTGAGACTTGCTCCTTGAGGCGTGCAGAAGGATTGGAATGGAGTAGTGTGCTGTCCACGTTCCTTCCAGAAGTATCTCTTGTTTCACCTAAAGTCGTCTGAACATCACCTGTAGGAGACAAAGTCGTGGAGAGCACACAGTGTGGAGGAGCCAAAAGAATATCCAGCCTGTTGGAGAACCAGTGGTCTTGGTGTCTTTGGCAAATACTCGTGCCACTCGTAATGGAGATTCAAGAGTAAGAGGGGGGAAGTGGGTATTTAAAACACCCTGAACTATTAATGTAAAACACCAAGAGAGCAAAACAAAATAAGAATAAAATGAAAAGCTTCAGAATCTTCCAGCTGTGTCAGAAAGAACTCAGATTATCAGCATCCCTTAGGACTCAACTGAAAGAGAAACTCTCTACAGCCCATCCCGCCTTGGCCTCCAACCAACTCACAAACCAAGGATGGAGTTAAGTCTGAACAATTCTTCACTCAGCTTCTAGAGAGAGGAATTCACCTCATTTGCTCCATGACCCCTTTCCTGAAAGTACCCCCACTTAGCCCAGCAGTTCTGCCTTTTAATCTTCGTAAAAGATGAGAAATATAATAAAGCTGTTTTCCCCAGCATTCTGTTCCCTGGAACTCTCTCTTGCCGCCGTCTCCTGTCGCCTCCTTGAGTGATGCTTGGTGCTCACAGGGTTATACAGGGGCGCTTAAGGAATCCAAATAGAGACCACAGATTTAATTCTATTCCGATATAAATTGTATTTTGTATACAATTGTAGGTTCGATATAAATTGTATTCTGATATTTTGAGACTTGCCAATCCACTATGCTTTATAGGATTGTCAGAATATTTGTTGAATGAGAACATCCTATTGCCCAGCCATGCTAAATAACATTTGTAGTTCTAAGAAACACCAAGAAGAGCTTAACGTACTGTGGAAATAAACACTGAGTTCTGTGGGTCCATTTGTCTTGTAGGTGGACATTCTGGAACATTCTCATAACATCACCGTTGGTTACTATGCTACCAAAGGGAGGCTGGTGTACTTGCCTGCCGCAGTGATCGCAGTGCTGGGTGTTTATGGGGTCAGCAACGTCACTGCAGATCTGAAGCAGCACACCCCAAACCTGCAGTCTGTGGCAGGGCTCGCCTCCCCGTGGAACCCCCAGCCCGCAGGCTACTTCCAGCTGAAAACAGGCAAGTAACTCAGAAAGAGAGGGCTCCTGTCTGTTCTGGGATCAGGGATGTTCGAGGAGCACACTTGTTTAAAAACTCCTTTGCTAGCTGCTCCGTCATCTCTTAAAGTCCCTGTGCACCTTCCTCAAAGGACCCTGCTAACCAAAAATGTGAGTTCCCTGCACATCAGCCTAGACTCTTCCAACCTTGGATTTATTAGAAATATTCCTTCACAGAAGCCTTCCTTCCAAGTTTATATAATTAGTACTTTATAAGCACCAAATACTGTACTTTGTGTTTTTTCTGTATTACCAGTGGATACTGATGAGAGTTGAGCATCCACAATATCTGTGCCCTGGAGCAACGTGTTCCACTTGCCTGAATCAGCATCTCAGAGCTTAGGCCTTGGCGTCTTTCTTTCAAGCTCTTTGGTGTTTCTGATCTTGTGGTTTCCAAACCACAAGAGTGGAGAAACCATTGGAATTGAAAGGCTCAATCAACGTAGTAATGCAGTTCAGTAGATTTTTCCCTCCAAAGCAATAGAAGACTTGTCTGTCTTAGGGTATTTTTATCAGTCTTGGAGCAGATGTCCACAAATCCTGATCGAATGACACCACAAAATCCTTTGCATCGGAGGGAATCTCAGGTTCAGTCATGCTTTTAATTATTTTGTTATAAATCATTTTAAGAGCCACTTTCAAAACTACAGCCAAACCTGTCTGTCCTTATTTGCCTGATTTCTCTTACCTAAAATTGTGTTGTTTCATATCGTGACTCCTGTTAAGGCCAAGGAGCCAGGTCACGGAACTGTGGTGAGCGCTGTCATTCCTCTCCTTCCAGTGCTGCAGTTTGTGAGCCAGTCTGACAACATACAGTCCTGCAGATTCGCTCAGACAATGGAACAGAGGCTGCAGAAGGCTTTCCAGGACGCCGAGAGGAAAGTCCTAAACACCAACAGCAACCTGACGATTCAGGTGAGGAGGAGGGCACTTCAGCCGTGTGGCTGACGGAGGCCAACCGCAATGCAAGTGTGGGCAAGAAGCGACTTCGTTCCCTGTTTCACAGCTGCCTGGTGCTCTTCAGGCATATGATGTAGACAGAGGTGCCACTCTGGGACAACGAAGTCAAGTCAGTCCCTCCTGGTGAGGATGTCTGGGGGATGGCCATGACAGGAAGGATGCTGTGTCACTATCACCTGCTGTGGTTTGGGATTTTATATTTAAATAAGTATAAAATGTGAAGCTTCCTCAGGTCTTCTGGACACATTTATTATTTTAAAAATTGATCTAGGTATGCTGTATATGCCCAATGTCTACTCTAAGATGATCAGTTCTAAATAATTAAACTCACCAAGATTTGCCTGTTCTCTGATTTGCATTGAGTTATTTTCCAGACAGTCACATGAGCAATCACCTTACTTTAAACACACACACACACACACGCTGTGTATATATATTTAGGGCTTTCTGTGTGTCAGGACTGTGCTAAGTGTTTTACAGATGTTTTGCTGCATAATAGCCAAGACACCCCTCTGAGGTATTAGCACCATCTCACAGAAGAGGGAACTGAGGGAGACGTTCAGAAACTTCCAGAAGGTCACATGGTTGGTAAAGAATGGAACAAGGACTTGAAGCAAAGCCCATAGTCTTACCCACTATGCTATACTATGAAACATGGCAAACACATGAATTCTTTCCCAGGAATTCTCACTCTGGTGCACTGTATTTCAGCTTCCTGGGTTTATGGTAGACCTGCGCCACAAAAGCCTTTCTCAGACCCATTTTTTGCAATTATATAGATAACATCCCACTAAAGACAGATGCTTCTTAATGATATACTGCTCCAGCCCCTAAATTTCTCTAAAATTAAGTGTACTATCTAATGTCTCTGTTTTTACAGAACTAAAACCTTTGCAGTTAAACCCAGTGGTTTTAAAATTGACGTTTAGCATAAGTGAATTATCAGCAAAGCGAATATGATGTAGAAAGCATGCAATTTGATTTGAGCAGTTTTCCTTTTCTAGATTCATGCAAAGTGCACATGGAAGTATCTCCTTAAGATTGGGTTCATAGTAAACTAAGATCTTGAAACATGTCACAGACATAAGGTTCATGTGGGGAGTATGACTCAGCTCCCTTGTCCGAGATCTTCTTTCTGATTGGATCTGTGATCTTCACAGGTGCACAGGTCTCGTTGGAGCTTGGCAGCAGAGTATGCTGTAATTGTGTTCCGGAAGCATAGACTTATTGAGCGCCTGCTATTTATCAGGCCCTGGGAAGGACACCCAGATCAATAAGCTGCCCTCGGCCCTGGGGAGCCGCCCTTGTGCTGTGTCACAGTCATGGGCCACGAGGTGGAACTTTGTAAAGCAAGTAACAAACCTTCCTTAGAAAAAAACTATAACAGGCAATTCAAAGATTGCATCTCAGTAGATTTTAGATGCTCTTGAACATTTCAGCAGCTCTTGGAATGAATGGATAATTGGGAGAATTGTTTTATTAACCTTATTTCTCTTTTTTGCCTTGGCTGACAGGAAGCCCAGAACCAGATTTGTTGCCTGGACTTTATAACCCTCTAGCCCCTATGTCATGCATAGATGATACCCACCTGCTAACCATCCCCCTGGGGTTGCCTTTCATCTGTTTTTCCAGGTCCTTGTTTTTTAATTAATTACTTTCCATTTTGTTGTATTAAATATAATTTGTTGGGCACCCAGGATACTTTGTGGAATAAGACCATGTGAATATTTAATTAATTTGTTTAGAGAGCTGTTGAAAAAGTGACTTACTAGTTTTTTTGTTTGTATAGCATCACTATTAGGGGCTAGATTACAGTGGACTCAATTAGGACTGTTTTCATTGTAAGGGACAGAATCGAAGCTCAGACAGCTTAAGCAAAAAGAGGAAGTGATTGGCTCACGTAACTGACAGATTCACAGCTTATTTACTTCAGGCACAGTTGAATCCAGGTGCCTACATGGCTTCTCCATGAAAGTCTCTCTTCATCTCTTGGCTTGCCTTGCCCTGGGCTGGCATCATCCTCAGGCCCCGTGGGGTGGCCCCTGGCACCTCCAGGTTTGCCTCATCCTTATTGTTCACAGTCCCGTGGAACCAAAGTACCTTCTTTGTGTCATTCCAGTCAAAATCCTGGGATTACCTCTCATTGGACCCACTTAAATCATTTGCCCATTTCTGGACTGGTAATTGTGACCAAGGAGATGAAATGTCCCAATCTAATAGGCCTGGCTCAGATGCCTACTCCTGGAACTTAGGTGGGGCAGCCCTCCCCAAAGCACGTGAACTGATGGGAGAGAAGAGGCGTTTCCCCAAGGAGAATCGTGGTGCTGTCAGAGCAGAAGGGAGAATGGATGCTAGGTAGGCAAAACAACGACTTTCCATTTCGTCAGCCTCAGAGGTCTGATTAGCTAAATGAAGCATGTCATGGGTGAGTGGGAAGTGAGAGATGAGGTCAGAAGCTGCAGGAGTCCAGAGTAAAGGGGTGATGGGAAAGTGCCCCTGCAGGGGCTGCTTCTGCTGGGGACAGGGGACGACCTTCAGGGAACAATGACATGACCTTGATCTCAGGCCTGTGGACCTCTTCTTATTTATTGAGCTAGTGCTAAGCAGCCACCAAGAATGGTCACACTTTTCTTAGCTATAAAAAAACGAGTATATTAGAGATGACACAGGTAAATGGAAGAACATTCTGTGCTCATGAGTTGGGAGACTTAGTATTGTTAAGATGTCAATATTACCAAGAATGATCTACAGATTCAATGCAATTCCTATCAAAATCCTGGTGACAGTCTTTTCCAGAGATAGAAAAATCCATTCTAAAATTCATATGGAATTTCAAGGGACCCTGAATAGCCAAAACAATCTCGAAAAAGAAGGACAAATTTGGAGGTCTCACGCTTCCTGATTTCAAAACTTAATACAAAGCTACCATAATCAAAACAGCCTTGTAAGGACATTAAGACAGTCATCCAGACCAATGGAACAGAACAGAGAGCCCAGAAAAAAACCCTCACTTATATGGTCAAATGATTTTTGACGAGAGTACAAGACCATTTAATGGGGAAGGGACAGTCTTTTTAACCAGTGGTACTGGGAAAACTGGATATCCACAAGCAAAATAATGAAGTTGAACCCTTACCTAATACCATATACAAGAATTAACTCAAAATGGATCAAAGACCAAAATGTAAGAGCTAAACCTGTAGGACTCTTAGAAGAAAATAGAGGAGAAAAGTGTCGTGATGTTGAATTTGGCAATGATTTGTTGGATATATGCCAAAAGTATGGGCAACAGAAGAAAAAAATAGATAAACTGGACCTCATCAAAATTGAAAACTTTTGTGGATCAAAGGACAGAATCATAAGGCAACACACAGAATGGGAGAAAATATTTGCAAATCGTATATCTGATAAGGGGTTAATATCTAGAATATGTAAAGAACTCCTACAACTCAGAAACAAAAATCAAATTAAAAAATCTTAAAAAACCAAAAAGACAAAGAAAACAAGTAACCCAATTAAGAAATGGGCAAAGATCTTGAGTAGACATTTCTCCAAAGAAGATATGCAAATGACCAATAAGAGAAAAGATGCTCTACATGACTAATCTTTAGAGAAATTCAAATCAAAACCACGAGATACCACTTCACATATACTAGGATGGCTGTGATAGAAAATGGAAAATAACCAGTATTGCTAAGGATGTGGAGAAATTGGAACCTTTGGGCACCTCCAATGGTGCAGCTGCTGTGGAAAACAGTATGGTGGTTCCTGAAAAAATTAAATGTAGAATTACCATATGATCCAGCAATTCTATTTCTGGGTATATATCCAAAAGAATGGGAAGAAGGGACTTGAACAGATCTTTGTACACTCATGCTCAGAGCAGCACTATTCACAACAGCCAAAAGGTGGAAGCAACCCAAGTGACCATCCACAGATGAATGGATAAGTAAATGTGTATGTACATGCAATGGAATTTATTCATCCTTTAAAAAGGAGAGACATTCTGACACAGGCTACAACATGGATGAACCTTGGGGACATTATGCTAAGTGAAATAAGCCAGTCATAAAAGGACAAATACTGTATGATTCCACTTAAAAAAGGTATTTAGTTTTGTCAAATTCATAGAGACAGAAAGTGGATGGTGGTTGCCAGGGGCTGGGGAGGGAGGAGTGGAGAGTTGTTGTTTGGTAGGTTCAGAGTTTTCGTCAGGGATGATTAAAAGTCAGGAGATGGATAGTGGTTATGGTGGCACAACGGTGTGAATGCACTTACAGCCACTGAACTGTGCACTTAAAATGGTAAAATTTTTGTATATTTTACCACAATTAAAGAAGAAAAAGTGTACCTCACCTGGTCGGGTGTACTGCGTATAGAGGTCCCCATCCCTCACCTGGTCGGGTGTATTGTGTATAGAGGTCCCCATCCCTCACCTGGACAGGTGTACTGTGTATAGAGGTCCCCATCACTCACCTGGACGGGTGTACTGCGTATAGATGTCCCCATCCCTCACCTGGTCAGGTGTACTGCGTATAGAGGTCCCCATCCCTCACCTGGTCGGGTGTAGTGTGTATAGAGGTTCCCATCCCTCACCTGGTCGGGTGTATTGTGTATAGAGGTCCCCATCCCTCACCTGGACGGGTGTAGTGTGTATAGAGGTCCCCATCCCTCACCTGGACGGGTGTAGTGTGTATAGAGGTTCCCATCCCTCACCTGGTCGGGTGTAGTGTGTATAGAGGTCCCCATCCCTCACCTGGACGGGTGTAGTGTGTATAGAGGTCCCCATCCCTCACCTGGACGGGTGTAGTGTGTATAGAGGTTCCCATCCCTCACCTGGTCGGGTGTAGTGTGTATAGAGGTCCCCATCCCTCACCTGGACGGGTGTACTGTGTATAGAGGTCCCCATCCCTCACCTGGACGGGTGTACTGCGTATAGAAGTTCCCATCCCTCACCTGGTCGGGTGTAGTGTGTATAGAGGTCTCCATACGGCAAGCTCTGTAGGCTTCTTGCTACAGTGGGATTTAGTTTTGTTGAAAAACAAAAGATAGAATGTTCATGATAGAGATAAAGGTTGAAAAGTTATTTTAGTTATTATTTGTTTAGGGGGCACTATAGTGAGGTCTTTTGAATTGTTAGAGAGAAGCGCCTTTCTTTGTGATACCCTGGAAAAGAGACCTGAATACCCGTGGCTCAACCACATTCCAAAAATACTTCAGAGAGGAGAGTAAGAGTTGACCAGAAACATTGACTCAGTATGTTATTAATCATGGACTGTAGGCTCTGTGTTAGAGAATTGAAAAGGAAATTCCACTAATGGGAAAAAGTAGGAAATAATGTGAAGAAGCTCTTCTTATGGCAGTCTTCTTAAAAATAAGACTTAAAAGGAAAATTGCAGGGGTATGTATGTCTGAACACACAAAGGTCTGCGAAAGACGGGGTGTCAGTCAGGTCCCTGTAGGAAGAGAAGGCACACTCAAATGATGGTAATTGGAGGAAAGGCCAATAACACAGACCCTTTGCAGAAGCGTGGGCAGGCTCTGGGGGAACCACAGGGACAGTGCGGTTGCCAAGGCTGTAAGAGGTGGGAGCAGTTATAGGAAGCCAGAAGCCAGAGTTGGCTGACAGGAACTGTGTCCCCACAGGGATGGAGTCCTGGACACCAAAACTCTGGTTTCACTGTCCTCCCTCTCTCTCACATCCTCCCAGCCTCCTTTTAGCTGAAGCCAGAGGTCAAAGGAGCCCACTGAGGTGGTGCACAGGGTCTGCCTCAGGGACACTGAGCAGGACATGGGAGGGGGTGCAAGCGATTCTGGAGAGGGGGGAGGGGCAGACACCTGGCCCAGAACCCAACAGAGACTGTCTCACCAAGTTGAATGCCTTCCTCTGTATCTGTTTTTCAAATAGCATCTGTGGGATATTCTTATCCATACATTGACCCAGGGAACCTCATTTTCTGGTAAATAAAAAACCGACTTGGACAAAATGCAAGAAGAAAACCACATCATCTCATAGTAATATTTACATATTCTATATTGAATTAGGAGACCGCAAGGAAATGTCATCGCTCTCTAAAGAAGTTATTTTATATCTCCGAATTCCTTTTGTCGTTAGGTTCAGTCACTCTGTCCTTTACTGGGGTGGTGATCAGCTGGTGTATATTCCTGTTCTTTCAACTTTAAAATTCCCCAGAAGTTTGACTCAAGCGTTCTCTGTCTGAACAGTTTAGCTCTCCTTAAGTTTAACATTCCTATGCTCTATTTCACATTTTCAGAAGCATGAAAGTAACCTGAGACATTTTAGGCACTGGAAAAGATCCATGCACTGGTTAAAACCTGAAGCCAGGCTGCCTGGATTGGAACCCTGGCTCCATCACTTATTAGCTGTGTGACCTTGGGGAAGTCCCTTGATCATTCTGGGCGTCAGTTTCCTCCTTTGTAAAAGGGAGTCATAACTGGATACACCTCCTAGGGTTGTGGTGAGGATTAAATGAGATAACGATGCCTGGCACATAGGGAGCAATCAGTAAATGACGGCTGTTGTTAATCTTGTCTCTTCCTTGCTCTTTTCCCTCCTTGCTTTCATTCCTACCCTCGACTTCTGCTGAAACTTCTCCCCTGGCCTCCATGAAACAGACCCTCGTCTTATCTGGCATGTCTCCCCTCCCTTCCCTCCTGTGTCCATTCAGATTGTGAGCACATCCAACGCCTCCCAGACAGTCACCCTGGTGTATGTGGTGGGCAACCGCAGCTCCATCCTCAACGGCACCGTGGCCAGCAGCCTCCTCCGGCAGCTCTCGGCTGAGCTGGTGGGGTTCTACCTCACCTACCCGCCGCTCACCATTGCTGAACGTGAGTATGTCCACGCCGTGCAGGGATTCTGCCATTTTTCCCAGGGCCTTTCCCCATTTAACAAACATCTATTGTGCCAGGCCGCGTACTAACTCTTTTGTCATAAAAGAACAAGTGAAATTTGTGGTAAATGGGGATCGAAATGATGATAAGTTTATTGCACATTGAAAAAAAAAACACTTAAGTGCCTTTACTCTTCAAATATCCCTTATCTCATTTAATCCTCACAACCACCCTATAAGGTAGGTGCAAAATTAGCCCTGTTTTTGCAGATGAGAAAACTGAAGCTCCAAGAGACTCCCAGTCTTCCATAGCTGGGGAGACATGGAACCTGGGTATGAACCCAAGCAGTCTTCCTTCTGGGCCTGCAGTCCCGCCCGGGAGGGCGTCTGCCCTCAGGGCAATCTGGGTTGCTATGTTTCCTCCACTTCTGCCATCGGCAGGTGTTCCCCGGCCTTCAGCCCGTGCCCTGGCCGTAGACATCATAATGCAGCTCATCTGCAACCAGCATCGTGACTTCGCTTGATGAAGTCCCCTAGTCCTGTGGCCTCATCTTCTTCTAATGCTTCAGTTGCGTGATCCTCTTTACCATGCAGCGGGCGTAGCCTTCGAAGATAGCAGCCTACATTTTGTACCCAACACTTCCCTGGTAGCCAAAAGGAAGTAAAGATTTGTGCTCTTGATTTTGATCATGGGAACGTTTCTTGAGGTCACAAGGCAAGCTTTTTTTTTTTTTTTTAGCACATTATGATCTCATTTGTGTTTCCGTCTATGGTTGCTTTTGATATTGTAAATAAATGAGATGATGTGTGTGAATGTACTGAGCACATCACAGCCGCTCAAAATTTTTTTGGACGTTGATTTAATGGCAAGCTTTTGAGAATTTCCATGTAGTAAGGAAAGATGACTCTGGATTTTATGGAAAAGATGATGTCACAAAAGATGATGTTATGTCACATGGCAGCATGTGAAGAATTTATTTTCTCTCATCATCTTGATATTCTGATAATGACAATGATAAGGACTAAGATTTATTGAGCACTTACTGTGAGCCAGGCCCCAGGCAAAACCCTTTACATGTGTTAACTCTGATGCGCACCGCACCTGTAAGGAAATGACTGTTCGTTACAAGCTTTCGGCTGCTAAACTGAGTCCTTGACGTTGGCAAAATCTGTTCAAGAGATCATTATTCCTAAAAATACTAGCAATGGTTGGATAATTTTTAAAGAGAAAGCTGCAGTTAGGGCAGTTTCCAGCTGCAGGTCTTGATAATGAAGATGCTCCACTTGAGAAGGTTTTGATGGAGAAACTGAAAGAGCAGAGACCCCCAACCCTGGAAGACGTCGTCTGAACGTCAGCCCTTTCCTGAGCCTTTGGTTTTTGAATAGCAAGATAGCTTTGGCCCGTATGTCCCAGAGTTCTCAAGATGATAAAGCAGTATTTAGCTGCTTGCTATTTTGTCACTCTGTCCAATTCCCCTTAGAGTATTTACACAGAAAACCTGTGAAAGTAATTTGGCGTGTTTCTTGTTTGTTTCAGCACTGGAATATCCCAACCTTGACACATCGGAAACAACCAGAGACTACTGGGTGATTACAGGTAATCTCATATTTTATTTCCCCTTTCACCCTAACAGGTTGGTTTGTTTTTTAAAACTGCCTGCCCTTCAGTGATAGGATTAGTGTCTTTTCTTGGGTCCCGTCTTATAAGCCAAGGAGTTATTCCACAGGACCAGAAGTGGGTGGATAAGCTGAGATAAGAAAAGACATCACACTGGAGATGAATATTAAATAAACAAGTCACAGCACCTACCTGGAGAGTCCCATCCAGTGGCCTCTGGACCCATCAGAAGGGACAGCGTTAACCTGCAGACATCTGGGGCATGTCCCTGTGAGTGGCTGTCTCTCTGTTTAAGGAGGGCTTTCTGTACTGCCCTCTGAAACCCCAGTGAAAGTCAGAGGAATGCTGGGCATGCCTTTCTCTCTCCCCGGCACAAGGCCCACACCCACACTCGTCCTGGTGCAGCCCAGGGTGTCCTGAGAGTGAGGGCAGAGGGAAGTAAAGGGTGTTTTGGTGGCATTTTCTTCTTTCTCCTTGACATTTCCCAGCTGAGCTTTATGAAACAGCAAAAAAAGTTCTTGTGTGTGTTTTTCAGAAGCCAGACAGTAGCTCTGGAAATCAGAGAAGCAAGGGTTTGGAGCAAAAAGAGAAGATAGATGTTTGTAGGAGAAAAAGTGGCCAGCCCAGCTGTAAAGGGGAGGCACTGGAGGGGGACCATGTTAGTTTGCTCGCCTGCCGTAACAGCACCACAGACTGGGGGCTTCGACAGCAGGAATTAGACTCCTCACACTTCTGGAGGCTGGAAGTCCAACAGCAAAGTGTGGGCGGGGGTGGTTTCTCCTGAGGCCTCTCTCCTTGGCTTGTCGACAGCCATCTTCTCGCCATGTCCTCACGTGTCTCTATGCCAGTGTCCTCTTCTTATAAGGATACCAGTCATACAGGATTAGGGCCCACCCTAATGACCTCATTTTACCTTAATTACCTCTTTTAAGGCCCTATCTCCAAATATGGTCACATTCTGAGGTCCTTGGGGTGAGGACTCCAACATGTGGATTTGGGGGGGATGCCTGCAGCTCGTGGGGGGGACACATGCAGCTCATCACAAGGCGGAAGATCCTGCAGGTCGTGGGAGATGGGCTTGGGCTAGCAGCCCCGTCTGAAACCTCCCTTCTTACTCCTTCCCTCCCCGTCTCCTCCCTCACCCGCCATCCCAAAAAAGCAGCAGGTGGGCTGCTGCCTCTAGTCCTGGCTCAGGAGCCAGCCTGCTCGCAGCCTCTGCTCAGCTGCAAAAAACTGCATTTCTGTCTCTCTGCGGAGCTGTGGATAGGCAGAGGTTATTTTACTTGCTAAGAAGGCAAACTAAAGAGATGTGGGTTTTTTTGTTTTTTTTTCTTTTTAAACAAGAAATATGTTTAAAAAGGAAAAAACCCCACCAGTTTATGCCTGATAGACAATGCTAAGCCACCACACATTTTTGAAACCAGCCAACATGTAACATTTACAAAATCACGTTTCCTCCACCAGGAATGCGGCTTTTTAACTTGTAGACATCTCTCCCCTTCTGTCAACTTGAAGGGTTACATGAAATGGTAACAAATCCCCCCTGAAACACGGCTGTCCTCGACGACCTCCTCTTTCATCCTTTCCTCCTGTCCCTGGATCTTGTCCTGCCTGTGTCTTAGAAACGTAACCGTAATAAAAAGCTCAACACGTGGTCTTGTTTTCAGGATTCTCCTGGGACTTAAGGCCCTCCCTGCTCTCCTGTGCAACCCTCCCTTGTTAGGGCTGTTAGCGCTCTTGGTCATCTGAGTCAACAGTGGCCTCTGGCCGTGTGCTTGGGGCTCGTTGGATCAGTTGGTTAGTGCTTTGGCCGGGCAGGAACCACGTCTCAGGATGACCCTCCTCCCTTCCCTTTGGCTCCTGACCACTTTCTACACCCACTGGCAGCCACCCCCAGCTTTTGCCATTGCTTCCAGAAGGGATAGGAGATTGGGAACTGAGAGGTGGAGAGAGCTTTGTTCAGTCTGTTCAAAGCCACAGCCCCTTGAATAAGCCCTCTGCCTGTTCCTCCCAGACCTTCATCACAGCACCTGGTCTTCTGCTCATTGCTAGCAGCCAAGAGGATTTGGAGCAGCTTTCCTTTCTGTAGATTGTATTATAAAACCCTGACATGTTCTCATCTGTTTTCCAACTAAACTTATATTAAATATGTTTTTGCACACTGTACACTTCTCCCCTCCCTGAGTGTGGGTCCCTCTTTGGTGAGAAATCACTGGTTTAGGGTTACTCCTGCTGTCCCTCTTTATGGAGAATCCAGGGGCCACCTTGCTACCCGTGGGTCCTGGAACCTGGTTGTGTGAGTGAGGCAGGACAGAGATGCGCACACTTTGTATTGCTGCCTGACACAGGCGAGCGCCCGTCTTAGAGTTACTCATCTGTCTTTATTTCACCCACCAGACTCAAAATCCCCCAGGCCCAGCAATCCCACGATTTCTTCTGGTCTCAGCTTTGCTACATACTAACCTGGTGTGTCCTTGAGCAGGTCGTTCAGGCTCTCTGGGTGTCACGCTGTCACCTTTAGAATGAGAACATCTGAACTGAGCATTCAGGTTCTTTTGGCTCTGAATATGTGGGCTTCAACCATGAATAAAACAGTTCAGCTTGAATACATGGAGGCTGACCAGGCCTGATCGTTGGAAGTTTAGAGCCCAGTGCAATTGTGAATAAAGAAGGAGTAAGAAACCGGTGATGTAACAACCACCCAAGCTTCTGGACAAAGTTCCTTTGAACACAACTGGGGACCTGCCCACCTCCCCTAAGCTGAGTCAGTGATGGCCAAGGGTGGGCGGCCGGGGCCCCGGCTGGTGTGCGAAGAGGCTGCTCTCTTCCTGGGCACCTGTGCCAGGGTCCCAGCTCCCTTACGGTGCCACCTTCTGTGTGGCTGTGAGAGACATGAGCACACGTTCCTTACCACTCCCTTCCAGGCTGGCGGAGAGGGCCCGGAGCCTGGGGCCTGCTGCTCTTCTCAGGGGTCAGGCGAGGAGACACAGACCTGCAGCACATTCTATATTCTCCGTGGGGTTTCTCGCTCTAGTCAGGGTGTGTCTAGCAAAGAAGGGGGCACATGTGAGCAACAATGGCAGCTGCCACTGTGGGCATCCTCTCAAGTGCCTTATGGCACTCTGCTGGAAGCACTTTTTATACAGTATTTGTTCCTCACAAGGACACAATAAGGAGTGGGTTACGATCCCTGTGTTTTCAGATAAGGGGCTCAGAAGAAATAAGCGACTTGCCCAAGAACACTCAGTAAGAGGGAGCCAGGATTCAAACTCAGGCCCCTAGTGCCAGCCCCAGAGCTCCCCCAGCTGCCTGTTAAGAAGGACACATCCTCTCTGCAGGTAGGGCGATGAGGCACATGGGGCTGTGACTCTGCGGCAGGTGCCCACAGCCTCCTGCCCTTACGTGAGGGTTTTTTTCCTTCAATTTTTGAAATTGTGGTAGAATACATGTAATAGGCAATTTACCATTTTAACCATTTTTAAGTGTACAATTCAGTAGCATTAAGTACATTCACAGTGCTATCAGTTGTCACCACTATTTCCAGAACTTTGTCATCACCTGGAGCCTTTCACTGTTCCCTTTCTTCCATGTCGGCCCTTAATTCTCACTGGGATTCCCATAAAGTACCCCAAGGTGACGCTCCTCGACTGTCCTGTGCCCCCCTCTATCATCTAGTGGTCAGGAGAGGCCGACTTAGGGTGATCCTTCAGCAGCTGGTCTTTGAACCAGCAAGGACGTGGGCTCTGCTCTCTGGAGCCACGAGGGAGGTGATGTCAGGAGGGTTGTGAGGGGCCTCTCTGGGACCTGCCGTGGCGGGGACAGCACAGGAGAGTTTTATCTTTGTTTGCAGGAATGCTGCTGACAGATGAGCTGAGAGTCCCTCACAAGGGCCCTAAAAAGAGAGCTGCTATATACTCTCCATGGGGATTACTTGGCATTTATGGCTTCAAGGAAGTAATTTCTGAGACTCTGCTGTGGGTTTTATTTCTCCCTTGATCGGTTTAAACAGCATTCTCTATCTCTTGTTGTCGTCAGTTGCTTGATCTGGCGCTGTATGGAATGTGATCATAACAACAGCACATTCTTTTCATCCGAGCTGTTTCCATATTCTGGTAGATGGGTGGTATTAATGGTCCTTGGCTGGACTGTGGTAGAACACCCTTTACCAAATGAAAAATCCTGTATTACATTCTCAGCCCATGTAGCTGTGGTCCCTTTAGGAAGATGAGAATTGTTTTTAGCATTTTTCATTTCAGGGATGATGTTGGAAGGCAGTGTTTGTGTGTTTGGGGTGAAGTGTGCTTCCCAAGGGACTTGGAGGAAGGCCTGGACTTTGGGATAGACAGTGAAAGGCGGTTGCCCCCATGGTAAGTGACCATGGTAATCCTCGGATGGCCGTAGCGTTCATTAAAATCCTCCTCCATGCGCTAGCCTTTGCCTGGAATTCCACCATTAATACCTCACCTACTGACCACAGAGAGCCCTGGGTGTAGACAAAGTGCAGTGGTGGAGGAGGGGTGGGAAGAGAGGAACTCAATTCACCTTCCACCACCAGGCACCGGGCTAAGCTGCTTTAGACATCTTGTTTCATCTCAGCCTTAGAGCCCATTAGGAACACGTTTGCTGTGATGTAGACTTTCTTGTTCCCTTTTCAGAGAGGAGGACTTGGACTCAGGGAGCCAGTGGTTTGCCTAACGTCCCACAGATGGCCTGTGCCAGCGCTGAGAGCCCACTCTCTCTTACGCTGTCCTGCTCTCAAGTGGGAGAGTTCCAGAGAAGCCCTGGGCAGCCCCAGGAGTGGGTCCCAAAAGGACCCACAGAGGAGGGAGGGGTGAGGACATGGAGCAGGTGGTTTGCCCAGGTGTGAGGGTCTGGGTTGCAGGATGAGCTCAGAGACTTCAGCAAAGCCGTTGAGAAGGAGAAATAAAATAAAGGTAGCCCTGAGCCAGGAACCGGTAAAACCCAATTAGCTGTACCCGCAGCTATGCTCTGTTCCCACATGGACTCTTAACAACACATCCCATCTTCAGCAAGGTTTGATTTAATCCAGCAGCGTTAGACACGTCACAGCTCATGGAGGAGAGAGCGCAGGCTCTGGAGCCACACAGGCTTGGGTGTGAACCCTGACTTTGTATTTAGCAGCTGTGTGACCTCGGACAAGTCACTTAACCTTTCCAGCATCCATATCATGTAGATAGTGATTCCAGCCTCCTGGGGCTGCTGTAAGGTAAGTGAGGGAAGAAGGGCCAGGCCCTGACATGAGGTCGGCCTGGTATCCTTCAGTGCCCGGCGGTGGTTGTGGCTTCTGAGTCAGTAGGGAGGCTGTCCTCTGAGCAGCCCTCTGCCTTCTGTTTCCACAGTGCTGCAGGGCGTGGACAGTTCGCTGGTGGGCATGCACAACCAGAGCTTCGCCCGGGTCATGGAGCAGCGCCTGGCCCAGCTGTTCATGATGTCCCAGCAACAAGGCCGGCGGTTTAAACGGGCCACCACCCTGGGAAGCTACACTGTGCAGGTGGGTGTGTGTGAAGCCACTGGGTCTTCTGATAAATGTGTGGGAATGTGTGTCCTGAGACTGAGTGAATCGTGCTGTGTGCAGAGGAGCAGCTGTGGTGCAAACTGCCAGAGCTGTTTAATCAACACGGCTCTTAGGTTAGGGAGGATGGGTGGTCATAACCATCAAAATCCTGAAGGAGGGTGAGAGTTAGCTACCCCCCGACAGAGTCACTACTAGATTGTAAGGAAAGGGGGTCTGGGAACAGATTCTTCACACACACAGATGTTTATTAAATAAGAAGTTATCAGTCCGCAGGCACAAACTAGTCACCAGCCTAGGCTGTAGGCTCGATGAGGTCCCAGCTCTCACTGCTTTCAGGCCTTCTCAGGCCTCGTTTAGTCTGCTCTAACCAACAGAGCCCTCTGAGTTTGTAACGGACACACGACCACGCAGGGATTTGGGCTGGGAGCTCTAGCAGACTCCGTTGGTGCTCTGCCCAAACCCCCTTACCCTTTCTGTGAATGACAGTGAACTTCCGGCAGCCGCCTCGGAATCGATGTTGGAGGGCTGCCCTTGAGATGCCAGAACCCACCTTGCCTGTACCACAGCTGGCCAGAGGTGCCTGTGACTTAACCAGTGGGGGTTATAAATACCCCAGTTCCCTTGCCCCTTGGCTAGGAGAGTTCTGAAATGTCTGTTTTAGATCATTTCCAGAGCTTTCCCACAGGATTAAGCTTCAGTTGCCCACTGTGGTAACTGGATTGTTGATGTGCCCCTCGTTAGCTCCCTTCACACCCCTGTGTCACCTCCTCATCCTCCTGTCAGTGCCTTGTACCTCACAAATAAATTACAAGCACTCAACTCTTCTTAGAGTCTGTTTCTAGACAGTAGCCGTCCCCCAGGTGGGGGCTCTCAGCCTCTCTAGGTTCCTTATCCAGTTCAAGCAAAAGTGAGAGTCTCTAGTGTGTTTTAGCCAATCCACATATGTTGAATACCACTAATTTCACCAATGAGAACCCATTTCTAAGGTTTGTTATGCTAATTGGCAAAGCTCTGTTTGCGAGATATGAAATTACAGGCATGCTCCTGGTCACTCTCTCTAGAAGGTGGGCCTCCTAATTGGAATCCAGCCTGGTGCCCCTGGGGTGTGAGCTCTTCATTGGAGATTGACCACATCTGGGGTGTAACTTCACCCAAACACACGTGCGTAGTATCACACTGCCCACAAGGAAGCGTCTTAAAGGAAATTACAGACGTTACCACAATCTGTCTGCAGATCATGTCCCCAGGCAATCTTGAAAGTGCAAACGGGGGCTGCTCCGTGGCTGAGTGGTTAAGTTTGTGCGCTCCACTTCGGCGGTCCAGGGTTTCACCAGTTCGGAACCTGGGCTTGGACCTAGCATTGTTCATCTAAGCCAAGCTGAGGCGGCATCCCACATAGCACAGTCAGAAGGCCTTACAACTAGAGTATACAACTGTTACTGTGGGGCTTTGGGGAGAAGAAGGAAAAAAAAAGAAGACGACTAGCAACAGATCTTTTTAATCTTTTCAAAAAAAGGTGCAAACAACTCATCTTCTGGTACGCACCTTCCTGAGTGAGTCAGCATTGTGCCCCTGATGGGGCTCCAGGCTCCCATTCACAGTTGGTGACTTTGGGCCTTGGTTCTGTTGGAAGGTTTTGCTTCTAAAAGTCTCTCTGGTCTGTGATAGCCTCATCAAGAGGAAAAGCGATGGTTAATTTCACATTACAGGTTTGTGACTTCCCGTCTGTGGGGTCCATGTGAGCCCTATAATTCAGGCTTCTCCAAATAACAGAAAGGAAGTTGCTGGACTCAGAGGACAGTGAAACGGGACTTGCCTTAGCTGAAGGAGGAGAAAGAACCACCCTACGATCCTGGTGTTATTCATAAACCTAGGAAATCTAACACATTCTGTGTGTTGAAAGGGCCCAGTGAGATGTTCTCTCTCTCATTTCTTCTGAGGACTCAGTGTGCTTGGCCCCCAGAGTCACCAGGAAAGTCTGAGGGAAGCAAGTAGGGGTTTATTTCTGCAAATCCCTAATTCACAGAGGCTGTAGATCACCTTCTGACATTACCTTGGAGAAATCTGGGTAAGAAGAATTTGCTATTAAATTGAAATTGAGTGAAGTTGTTAGATGTGTGAATTCATTCACTCGTGGCTGGTTGTTGCCTCTCCTGACCTCCTCTCCCACCGGGGGCAGGAAGGACACGCCCAAGTTTCCCAAGTAAAATTCAGTCTACAAAGCTTACGTCATCCTTCCACCCAGAGGCCTTTCTTCTAGGATCAAATAATTTTAAAAGATGAGCTGCCTTCATGAATATGGAGATTTAGATGTCTAGAACTTAAAGATATTTCTCTAGTGGATATATCTGAGAAATTGAGTTCAAAGAAGAAATATATATGACCAATGAACGTTTTTAAATGTTTAACTCACTTGTCATCAAAGTAATGCCATTTTCACCTTCCAAAGCTTAGTAAAATGGTCCCGTCCAGTGTTGAGGAGGATGCAGTGACCTGGGCACTTTCAAACACAGCAAATTCATTTCGAAGAGGCAGAGCTGCACACCAAGATGGAAGGGTGGGAGCAGTGTTTCTCAGAGAGTGTCTGCAGAGTGGCCCCATAAGGTTCCCTGAGGTGAAGCGGTTCTGCCCAGGTCACTTTGGGTGAGGCTGCAGCCTGTAGCCCTGGCTTGAAGATTCCCAAGAATCTTTCAAAGCCTCTAACAAGACCTGAGTAAAGAAATCTTAGTTTCGTTCAACCAACTTGTTTCCAAATTCGAATGTCCACAAGACCCTTGTTTTTGGTAATATCTACATTTCCCCAACGTTTTATTATGAATATTTTCAAACTCACAGAAAAGTTGAAAAAAACTATACAGCTAACACCCATGTACTCACTATCTAGATTCTACAATTAACAATGTACTTTAATACTGTTTTATATTTGATAACATATATCATTTCCATACCACAGATTAGTTTGGACTGCTCTGGAACCTCATATAAATGGAATCCTTTATTCTATATATTCTCTTTCATATGAAGCTTTTTTCACTCAGTGTAGTGTTTTTGAGATTCGTCCATTTTGTGTTATTCAGTAGTTTATTCCTTTTTATTGCAGAATCTTATTCCCTTGTGTGAATACCCTACAGTTTGTCCATTCTTCAGTTGATGGACACCTGGGCTTGTTCCAGTTTTTAGCTATTATAAACAGAGCTGCTATGAACATTCTTCTACAAGGCTTTTTACGGCCATGTGCTTTCATTTCTCTTGGTTATATAGGAGTGGAATTGCTTGTTCGTAGGGTTGGTGTATGTTAGTTCTGTGAGAAACTGCCAGACCTTTTTCCCAAGTGTACCGTTTTCCACACCCACCAGCCGGATGTGGAGGTCCCTTGCTTCAGGTCCTCATCAGCACGTGGTGTTGTCAGCCCTTCTCACTTTGGGCATTCTGGTGGGTGATAGTGGTGCCTTGTGGTTTTAATTTGAATTTTCCTGTGCTTATTGGCTATTTAGATATCTTCCTTTGTGAAGTGTCTGGTCAGGTTCTTTTAAAAACTCATTTCTTATTGGGTTGTAGTAATATCTATTTTTAATTGTTATATATAGCATATGAACAAAGGAGTGTAAAAATATGTGTTCTAAAGAGCACTAATAAAAGGAACCCACAACCCAAAGGGAAAGAACATTACCCTTACCTTACCCCAGAAGCCTTTTCTGTGTCTTCTCTGAGTATGCATACTGCCTTCCTTTCCATCAGAGTTGAGTGTGCTTTTGGATTTTGTATTAAATCATGCCTGTATTTTCTGTATAGATTTCACCATCCACATGTGTATCCCTAAACAATACATCATTTAGTTTTGCCTGTTTTTGAATTTTATATTCTGTGATTTGTTTCTTTTGCTCAACATCAGGCTTTTGTGTTCACCATATTGATATAAATAACCATAGTTCACTTAAACTACCCTATAATATTTCATTGTGTGACTCTACCATAACTCCTTTATCCATTCTACTCTTTGTGACTTTTGGAGTTTTTGGTTTTTTGCTATTATGAACAATGCTACTATAAACAGTTTTGTAATATCTTTAGTATCGTATGACACTTATAGTCTATAATATATACTTTATAAAATACTATACTACACTATACTATAATGTTTATCAGTTATTGATTGTAATAGTGAAAAGTGGACAACAACTTAAAAAATGAAGGGTTAGTTAAGTTTATGAGTCATGCATGCAGTATGAGCATTATGTGGGTATTAACATTTACATTTTATGTATTTATGATGGTTATCAATTGTTAGTTATAATACTCAAAAATGAGTAACAATGTAAGTGTTTGACAATAAAGGATTTGCTAAATAAGTTTGTGAGGTGTGCACTGAAATGCTGTGTAGAAACTAACATTTATGCTTTTGTTATATTCAAGGCCATTTCTGGATGCAAGTAAAAATAGCAAAATATGATACTATATATAGTGTATGAAAATTATTTTGTAAAATAATAAATAAAAGGCTTTTGTGGGGAAACAAACAATAGAAGTAAATACTCCAAAATGATAATAGTAATTAGTTTGTAGTGGAGGGATTACAAATTGTTTTCATTTTATTTCACTTCTTGATGCCTTTCTGTATTTTCAAATTTTCTGTAGTGAATGCGTATAACTTGTACAATGAGAGAAAGCAACAAAGGTTTTTTTAGAAAAAGAACTTTGGGTCTCCAAGTACTGCCTTTATTAGAGATCTTTTCAATTGCAGACGTATAAGTTCATTTTTTTTCCTCTCTGACAGTTGCGGGAATTGAAATTAGAAATCTTGTTTGAGAATAACCTAACATGCCCTGAATTAATGTGGAGGCCTATTTTCAAATGAGGCCAGAGTTCTCTGGAGGCTGGAAGACATCACCATTTCAGCATTCTCTTCTCCAGCCTCAAACTGTTTTTTCCAGATGTTCATATTTTCAAAATCTTTTTCTCCTCCCTGCCTCCCCCTCCAGTGATCACAGGGCATCTTGAGATGTTGGTGATAGGAAGGTACATGAAGGTTGATGTCTAGAACAGCTGTTGTGGGCCCACGTAGCCACGGAGGCGTCAGCAGGCAGGAGGGAGCCCGCTGATTGCCCGTTTGATTGCAGGCTCTGTGCAAGATGCCCGTAACACAGCCTCTCTTGCTCTGACAGATGGTGAAGATGCAGCGGGTGCCGGGACCCAAGGACCCAGTGGAGCTGACTTACTACACTTTGTACAACGGGAAGCCATTGCTGGGGACCGCAGCTGCCAAGATCCTGAGCACCATTGACTCCCAAAGGATGGCCTTGACCCTGCATCATGTCGTCCTTCTGCAAGCTGACCGTAAGGGCATAGTCTTTCCATTCACGATTTTTACCAACATTAAATGTTTCCTGCAAATCAAAGTGATTCCCCAAACTGATGTTAATAGACCCAAAGCTAAACATTTTGTTCTAGAAGGTTCTTAAATCAGTCAGCTGTTCCTGTGTTCTTTGAATCGATAGACTTTGGTTAAGGGGTGTGTTTTGGACGTTAGGATGATCGTGACATTATTTTCCCCGAGTCCTACCCGCTCTTCCTCCTCAGTGTAGTCCAGTGAACAGCTGGAAAAATCACCATAACTCAGATTATATTTGTCTGCTGGGGAGTTAAAGACGAGTAGATTCAGTAAGCATTTATAGAGACCTATATGAACAGTGCTTGGTGCTGGAGGACATACAGAGTGGGCAAGACTTGGTCCCTGGCTTTCAGGAGCAGAGAGGGAGCCCGTGCAGATGGGAAGGAGTGGACCACGGGCCGGTGCCGTGAGGAGGCGATGTGGTGCCCGGTCAGCGCAGGGAGAGCTTGCTCTGCAGGGGCGTCTGGAAGAGTGGACAGGAAAGGGTAGTGAAAATAATAACTGCCTCTGAATATCCTCCCCTGAGGCAGCTAATATGCTCATTTCTTTACATAGACTTTCTCACTTTCTCCTCTCATTGGGCAACTTCATTCAGCTCCAAATTACAGATGAAGAAACCAAGGCTTGGAAAACTTAAGTAACTTGCTTGGTATCGCAGAACTGGTACCTAGTTTGCCAAGATCTGAATCTGGATCTGTCTGACTCCAAATGTGTGTTCTGAACTGTACTACATGCTAAGATTTCAACAGAGGGAGAGGAAGGTGTATATTCTGGAAGGACAGAGCAGTATGAGAAAAAGAATGGAGGTGAGAAGTACCAGGTGTGCTTGAAAAGCAAGGGGTTCAGACTGAAACATGAGGAGGAGTTGGTGGGGTCAGAAAGGGGGACTCCTTGGGAGATGCAGGCCTGGGATGGCAGAGGGAGGAGGCTGTGCGTGATGTGATGGGCTGTGGGAGCGACTGAAGATTTCCAAGCAGGGAGTGGTAGTATTGGAACTACCCATGATTTGGGAGGTTAATCTATCAGCAGTGTCCAGGACAGGAGGAGGCAGGACTGGTGAGGAGGCTCTGGTGGCCCAGGTGTTGGGGACCCAAGCAAGGCTGTAAAGAGAGTGAGGGAGAGGGGAGGTGATGAAGGTGAGAGATTGTGAGGAAGAAAGATTTGATAACATGCTGAGCATACAGGGCATGGACGGTCATTTCCTGTTGATTTCCTAGTTGGTATCCACACTCCTTACGAACCTGACACCTGGCTCATGGTTTTCCTCTCCTCCTCATCTTCTGCCTTTGTCTGGGGCGGGGGGCAGTCGGGCTTCCGTGGTGATGGTCCAGCCCACGTGTTGTTGTGGCTTCACTTCCACTCGGCCAGCACATCCTCACAGACATGCCTTTCCCTGGAAGTGATGGTCACCCTCTGCAATCTCATCTTTGAAATGCCATTTTTAACTCAGATTCTCTCCCTTTGCGCCTTTCTCCCTTCTCCCTGTGGGCTCTGGCCCCATCGCTGGTCAGGTCTGCTACTTGCTTCACTGGTATTGCTGCACCGTCTTTCTGAGGGCTCCCCAGGGTTCCATTTTCAGCTCTTTCTACCTCTCTCCAGGTAGGAAATACATTGTGGAAGACAGGAGTGGAAACTGTGGCAGGTGCCCAGGCGAGAGGCGAAGGTTTAGATGGGGGACTCAGAGAAGTGGATGGATGTGGGATATTTGTGGAGACAGAGCTGATGGGACGAGACAACGGACTCTGTGTGTGGCAGGAGGAGGCGAGGGCCAGAAGACTCGAGGGTGACTCCTAGACGTTTGCTTGAGTGCTGGTTGTGGTGTCATCTGTCAAGATGCAGAAGATGCAAAAGATAGAGAGGTTCAGTGGAGCTGGAGTGAGAATGGGGGAGATGGAACTGAGAGTTTGGTTTTAGACATGTTAGGTTTGAGATGTCCTAGACACTCCTGTAGAGCCCGGGAGATGTAAACTGAGGAGTCATCAACAGAGGTGACATTGACAGCTAAGGGAGTGGGTGAGATTAAGCAGGAGAGCCATGAGTATCGCTGGGGAATCCATGAGGGAAGAACTGCAACCAGCAGAAGGCGCTGAGGAGCAGCGGGGAGATGGGAGGGACCCAGGAGAGCCGGCTCTGTGAATAAGCAAAAGAAGCGAATGTTCTGGAAGGGAGGGAGCTACTGCATCGACTTACTTCTTGAGAGGCGAAGTACTGTGAGGATGGAGATTGACTGAATTTGGTAAAATGGAGGTTGTTGGTGACCTTGGCAGGAGTGGTTTCCAGGAACAGGTGATGGAGACAGCTTGGCTGGAGTGGACTGGGGAGAGGATGGGGTGGGGAAGTGGTGACAGCAAAGAGGAGAAGATGAATGGTGCAGTTGCTGGGGGCACGTGGGAGATGGGGGGCGTGTTTGAATGTCACTCGCTCACTGTAATAGACAGGGAGAAACTGACAATGCTGAAGAGAGACGTGAGAACTGTAAGAGTGAAGTCCTTGAGTGGATGAGGGAGTGGCACAAGTCAGGGGTCACACTCAGCCAGGAGCGGGGACAGCTCATCCTTTTGCCCCGGGAGAGAAAGCAGAGCACAGGGGTGTGGGTGCCTTAGTTCCAGGGGCTTCCATCGCCCTTACCATGTGGGCAAACAAGCTGTTTTCTCTCTGTCCCCGTCATGAGCTCTTTCAAAGCAGGTACCCCATCTCATTCATCTTTGACTATCCAGCTCCAGCTACTGCCTGGCACCGTTCTTGTGAATGGAGAGGACTGACCTTTGCTAAATGCCTCTGCCAGGCCCTGAGTGAGGCACACAGTTAGAAGTCACCATAGCAAAGCAGGTGAGAGCAGAGCCTCTGAAATGAGATGGACCTGGATTCACATCCCTGCTCTTCTACTTTCCAGCTGTGGAGCTTGGAGACAAATTAATGACCCTCTCTGACCTTCGTATTCCTCGTGTATAAAATGGTACTATAAAAACACTGACCTGATAGAGCTACTTGGAGCCTTACAAGAGGTCATTATCGTGTGTCAAGGGCTTGGCACAACCCTGGGGTGCCCGGGAAGCGGCAGCTGAATGTCTCGTTTATCCACGAGGTAGAAGGACTGACGGAGAGAGGGCGTGAAGAAGGAAAGGTGGCTTGAAGGTTAGGAACCCAGATAATGCAGAGAATAGGGTGCTGTTAATGAGGATAGAAAGGGGGTCGACAGGAGCAGCATTTTAGAAGGGAGAAGAGAATGTATTCAGTCTGGGCCGTGTTGCGCCTGAGGTGGTACTGAACTAAGGGTGCAGTTGGGGTCGCGGTGTTGCTGGCATCTCGAGGGCTGAAGCTAGGAAGGTTTTTGGGAATTCAAGCTTGGATCTCAGGAGAGTTCACACTGTAGATTGTGAGAACGCTGTAGGTGCAGGTTTGGGAAACTTCGAGTGTCCGGGGAGGGAGTAGAGAAACGCCTCTCTCCCGGGGTCGGATCAGGAGAATGCCGAGGCCAGTGAAGAGAGGATCCAGTTTTCTCCTAATTGTTTTGAAAGCAGCGTGCAGTGTGAATCTAGGGTGAGCACTGTGAATAGAGTCACAGTGCTGAACAATCACCTTCTTCCTCTGAAGGGAGAGTGTTAGCGTTCCGTGTGTCCTCGTGATTTCCACATGCCCAGCTCCAGGGCCAGTGTGCAGTGCCCACCTGACCCACGGCGCCTTCTGGGCAGCGGGCCAGCAACGACTCCTAAAGAAGGCGACTGCGCGTCTAGCGGAGGTTTTCATCTGCTCCGTTGGCGGGGTCTGGATGAGAGGCCTTGCAGAGTGGTTATCCAGTGGATGAGCAGGAGGACCCTCCCCGGGCAGAAGCGGACCAGAGCAGGAATTGGTTTACCTTGCATGGCCATCAGACACTTATCTCAAAAAACGCCACTAGCGGAAGCGATAGACGGGCTCTTTGATGGGGGGAACTCATGCTCGTTCGTTATTTCAGCAGGTATTTTTGAGCCCCTCCTATGTGCCTGGCACTGTTGCGGGCGCTGGAGGTCCAGCAGCTACAGCAGAGAGCAAAGCAGACAGACCCTCGCCGTGTGCAGCTTCCATTCCTGAGGGGGCAGGTCCAGTAAACAAATAACTAGGCAGTGTGCTAGGTGCTAGTAAGTGCCGTGGGGAAACATTAGGCGGGGAGGACTGGGGGACGTGAAGGAGATAATGGCTGCAATTTTCAATTGTTGGGGGTCAAGAAGAGGATCTTTGAGGAAGTAGCCTTTGACGGACCACCCGAGGATATCTGGGGACAAGGTTCCAGGCGGAGGGGGAGGGTTTGAGACGCAGCGAGGAGGTCACTGATGGAGGAGAGTGGTGGCGATGAGGTCAGAGGTGCAGATGAGGGGCCCCCATCACTGGATCCCCACGTGCTGCCCACAGGTGGGATGGGAGCCCTGAGGGGCTTGGGCAGGACAGTGACGTGGACTGAGCACTGAGCAACTGCTGGTACCCAGGCTAGACCCTGCCTGCCTCCACTCATACGCGTTACGAACTTTGATGTTTTGACAGCCGCAAAAATGAGCTGGAAATGTGTTTTGAATGGATTCCTCCTCCTTTCAACATTTGCTTCACATGAGAATATTCTGAATTTAGATTCTGTGGACCCTTTGACTTCATTCCGTCTGACAAATACGTGTGTGTGTATGCGTGTGTGTGTGTGTTCGTGCACACGTGCACCCATGCTTCCATTCGTATGTGTTAACTAGGAACTGACTTAAGCTTGCACTTCAGAGAAAGGACTTTCCATAAAAACATCTCACCTCCCCTGGGGCTGTTTGCTCATCTGCAAATTGGGGATAAGAATGATACTGGGCAAAGGGCCTACCCCAGGCCCAGCACACGGGGAACTCCCAGAACCTGCTGGCCCCTTTTCTGTCCTTCCTCAACTGAAGTGCTTGCAAGTTAAATAACCATTCATTCCTTTGGCCTCCCTACATGACTTTGTAGTTTCAGATTATTATGCCAGTGAACATATCGGGTCTGGATGACGTCAGCTGACCTGACTTGACTGTCTCTTTGACTGTTAAACGACTTTATTAATGGGCGTAAGATAAATCTGTTCTCTCCCCATTTAAACAGAAGAGAAGGGACTTTACCTCCTGCCCCCGGGAGGAACCTGTGCACCAAACAATAAAGCTGAGGAGAAGCAGAACACGTGGAAATATTTCATACTTGCTAATGAAAAAAATCGTATATTTAGAGTATCTTGTTCTGTTACACTCTACATTTTTCTCCATCAGGATAGAACAGCAATGCCAAAAAGAGGCATAGTGCTATTTTCTACAGAAGCTCTAAGCCTTAAAAAATGTTAATGGCATAAAACTCACATATAAATACCAAATTACTAAAAGCAGCAGCAATTAAATGTTTAATGTCAACAGAGGCACATTACCTAATGAGCTGTTTTCAGAAGTTAATAATGCGATTAATCACCAATTGATAAAAATTGTGGAAAAGGAGTTATTTTGTACTAATACTGCTCCAGATGAAGTGCTGACTGATGGAAGGGGCCAGAAAAGTCACGGGGGGTTGAAGGCAGAGAGAGACTAGCTGGCTCCTCAGGCAGGTCCTCACCAGGCAGTACTTCCCGGTGGGGTCTTTATATTCCAGAGTCTGGTCCTCAACTTTGTGAGTCTGCCGGCCCCAAGAATTCAGCAGGATCAGGAGGACTAACTTATGCTAACCAGACTTACAAGAGATTGCTATATAAACCGGATTGGCAGTATGTTAATTTAAAATATTGACTAGAACTACCAGAGATGGGGCTTCTCCGTTACTCTCTCCTGTGTAGAAACCTTTATGGGGAGCCAAATTGCAACAGCCATAATGCTGGTTCATTTGTGCAGTCATGTGCCACATGATGACGTTTTGGTCCACGACAGAGCACACATACGATACGATGGTCCCATAAGCTTAGTCCCATCTAGCTGAGGTGTGTAGGAGGCTGTACCATCCAGGTTTGTGTAAGCACACTCCATGATGTTCACACAACAAGGAAATCGCCTGACAACGCATTTCTCAGAACGTATCCCCGTCCATCGTTAAGCAATGCATATCATTCAGCTTTTAATTGAGCACCTACTCTGTGCAAGGCCCTATGCTAGGCCTGTGGATGCAACAGTGAACAAGAGACAACATGCCCTGGCCTCCCAGAGTGTCCATTCTCTGCAGGGGCAGGAGTGACAGAGGATGAACAAGTACATACGGTGTGTCACGTCAGATGGTGATAAGTGCCTTAGAGCCTCGCCACTCCAGGGTGGCCTGGAGCCTGCTGCATGTCCCCCCCACCCCGGGAACTGGGTAGAAGCACAGAATCTGAGGCCCCATCTCGACCCGCAGAATAGAGTCCGCATCTGAACAAGATCCCCAGGTGTGCACATTGAAGTCAGAGAAGCACTGCTTTAGAGGAGAATTAAGTAGGATGAGCAGGATGGAGAGTGCCAGGTCAGAGGCTGTTATTTTATATTGTCCAGGGAAGGCCTCACAGATATGGTGACACTTGTGCAGAGCCCTGTGGCAAGTGAGGGAGGAAGCCGTGTGGGCATGTAGGTGAAGAGTATTCTAGATGGAGGAATAAGCCAGTGCAAAGGCCCTGAGGCAGGAGCATGTCCAGCATATTGGAAACACAGTAGGAGGCCAGTAGGCTGGAAGTGAGTGAGTTAAAGGAGGAGCAGAGGTCTATAAGGCCAGAGAAATGACTGAGGTGGTCAGAGGGGCAGATCCCTTAGGGTCTCATAGAAATTATAGGGACTCCGGCTCTTACTCTGAGTGGGTTCAGAGCCTCCCAAGGGTTTTGAGCAGAGGAGTGTTGTGATCTGGGTTCTTAATGGATCGCTCCAGCTGGTGTGTCACAAGTGGACTATAGGAGTCAGGTGCAAGGTAGAAGGCCGTCGCAGGAATTCAGGTGAGATGTGGGTAGCTTGGGTCACAGTGGGAGCAGCCGTGATGGAAAGTGATGGAGATGACAGGGCTTGTTAATGATTAGGATGTTGGGTGAGAGTAAAAGAGAAGGGTCAGCACTGATGGCCAAGTTACTGGCCTGAGCAACTGGAAGGAAGGGGTTGCCTTTTATTGGAGTGGAGAATATCACAGGAAGAAAAGGTTCTGGGGGAAATTGAGAGTTGGGTTCTGAACGTATTGGACTGAGCATCTTTGAACTTTCCAATTGGAGATTGGAGTTGGCGGTTGGACATAGGGATGTAGAGTCAGGGTGGAGGTCCTGCGGGAGCCATTCAGGTGACCATTATCAGCACAGATGGTGTTTACAGCCACTGGCCTGTGAGGTCATCTGGGGAGTGCGGGAGGAGAGAACCTGGGTGGTGTTAACGGACGCCGTCACCAACCTGGAACACCTGGTTGCAGCCATCGCGTCCGCCAGGGTAGACCTGCCGTCCATCAGGTTACCCACGTCTGCAAGTTGGGCCTGTCCCCTGGCAGGGCTGAGTCTTTGCCTGCCCTGTGGTTCTCTTTCTACATTTCCTGCAGACCCTACTCCTTCCCAGTAACTCTTTCTTCCTGCAGACAATGCTTTGGTTACTGTTTTTTTCACTCCAGTTCTAAGAGCACAATTGGTCCTTTGATGGGACTGAGTGTTTTCCAAGCTGACTCGCCGGTGATCCTGGGGGAGACTCATTCATCTCATATCGAGAGCTTTTTTTTCCTTACATCTTCCTAACCCAACTTAACAAAAAGTTGAAAGAATTGTACAGTGAACACCCATGTTCCCACCACTTAGATTCCACAATTAGCCTTTTGCTATATTTTCGTTATCACGTATCTGTTCATCTCTCTATCCCTCCATCCATCAATCCATCTTATTTTTTGATGCATTTCAAAGCAAGTTGCAAACATCAGTAGACTTCAACCCTAAACACTTCAGCATGCGTATCGTTGCCTAGAGTTCAGTATTTGTTTACGGTGTTTTAAGGTTAAATTTTCATACAGTGAAATGTACGGATCTTATGTATCCCATTTGATGAGTTTTGACAAACGTGTGCACCTGTGTAACCCTGATCCCTCTCGTGATGTAGAGCGTGACCATCACCTGTTGCCCTTTGCAGGTTAATTAATTCCAGCCCCTCCCCGCTGGAGGCACCTGCTGTTCTAAGAACATGTTCTTCCTACTGACCGTCGCTTAGGCTGCTCTTGACTCCAGCCCTGAGAACAGCCTGGCCCTTGTGATTAGACTGAGGCATTTCCAAACTTCCCCACCCAGCCGCTTGGTTGGGGGTGGGGGAATGCGTCTACTCGGTTACGGTTTAGTGATTTCTCACTCAGAGGATGACTTTACTGCAATATTTAGTGGCCCTTTAATCTCTGTGGCCTTGGTCTCCTGACTCTAGCACCGCTCTAATCCTCAGATTTCTTCTCTCTTCTTTTCCTTTGACTCACGGACATCCCAGTGAGGAAAATCCATACGATCCATTCTCCTCCTCCTCCTCTTCCCAGTAGTGAAGGCCAGCATTTATTGGGCACCTAGTAGGGCCACACCAAGGCCCCACACGTCCCTTGTCTCTCTGCTGCCCACAGAATGATAGCCCCATTTTACAGAGGAGGAAACGGAAACTCAGAAACCTTGAGTAACTTGCCCAAGGCAAGAGCCTTTCTGATCCCAAGCCCTGTAACAGGCTCAGGACTTGGGACTGGGGACTTATGTCCTGACTGCTTCCCCCTTACCAGTGCTCCTTGTCATGTGCTTCCTTCTGGCTCTTTCCCACAGCCGTGGTGAAGAATCCGCCCAACAACCTGTGGATCATCGCTGCGGTGCTGGCGCCCATCGCCGTGGTCACGGTCATCATCATCATCATCACGGCTGTGCTCTGCCGGAAAAACAAGAGCGACTTTAAGCCAGACGCCGTGATGAACCTGCCTCAGCGAGCAAAGGTTCGGGAAGCGGTGAGGGGAGGAGCGGGGGCCAGGCGTTTCCTCTCTTGGCTTTTGAGGCCGTTGCACTTACCGTCAGAAACATCCTCACCAGCCCTCATTTTGAAGGAGACCCTTAATTTATTTGGACTTTTTAAAAATTACGGTAAAATATACATAACATAAAACTTGCATCTTGACCCTTTGTAAGTGCACAGTTTAGTGGCGTTGAGTGTCCCACATTGTCGTGCAGCCTCTGTTTTCATAGTCAGGACCTGCTGGCTGATGCCTACCTGATGCTCACTCTGCCGTAAGTGCTTTACAGATAGCCTCGCACTCAGTCCTCACAGCAGCCTTGAGGAGAGTGCATTATTTTACAGATGAGGAAACTGAGGCACAGACAACTAGGAGCTAGATGGACCTGAAAGGGGCTTTAGGGTCGTCCAAGCTGACAGCTCCTTTTACAGAGAAGTCACTCTTTCAGGCTCACAGTTAGTGAGGAGCAGAACTGGTGGGAGAGCCAGTCTCTTGGCTCCTGCTGCAGGCCTCTTTTGGGCTCACAGTTAGTGAGGAGCAGAACTGGTGGAGAGCCAGCCTCTTGGCCCCTGCTGCAGGCCTCTTCTGGGCACATTAGGCCCTCACAATGTCCCTTCTTCCGTTGGCCAGAATGGCTCGTCTGCAAGGGCTGCCGTGATGGGCAAGCTGCAGGGCCTGGGTCGGGCGGCCGTCAAACCCCCGTTCAGCGGCTCCGCTGAAGCCTGGCTGGGAGCCCCGTCCGTCTCCACAGCCTCTACACGTCCACGGCAGCCACCTCCGGCCTGGGAGGGGGATGGGCTGAGGACATTCCAAAGGCTAGGTTTCCAGTGACGTCGCTCCCTCATGATACTCCCTGAGGGAAGCGTGATGACCTGTGGTGCCGAGGTTTAGATAACGCCTCGCGATCTGCCGGGCTCTTCTGGGTCTGCCGCCTCGTTTGCTCGTCAGAGCCGCCGTATGAGGTAGGTCATCGTCAAGGCGGGATTTATTATTTTCATTTCATTGCTTAGAAACCCAAAGGAAAGAGAGACAGCAGGACTTGTCCAAAGTCAATAACTAGCCACAGAGGGGCTACCCAGGCCACATCTGAGTCTTTGGGCTCTTTCTGCTTCCTGCACCCTCCCGAACCCTGACATTTGGCAGGTATAGTCCTTTTCCAGCTCTGACCTTCCGAGCTGTGTCTACCTGCGCGTGGATGGAACCGAGTGGAATTTCCTATCCGTGGGAATGCATGTCGTGGAGATTGTCCTTGCTGGGGCACACCTGCCTGGTTCTTCCTGGGTGAGCACACCTCACTTCAGAGAAAGAAATCAAATGAGTTCGTTGTTTATTGAACTGATTCATCTGTTGGAAAGCTGCAGCTTGATTAGACAGGCTGAAGAGCCCAACCCTAAAGAATGTTGTTGTGTGTCTGTTGACACGAAGGCACCCACTTCCCAGGCACCGCGCGGTGTTGGTGAGTGCCCAGGCGGTGAGCAGTGACGCGGTTCCAGGAAGAGGTGCTTCATTTCTATGTTAGCTTAGTTACAACCTGAGCCTTTCAGACAGAAAAGTAATTACTGGAGTCTAATTGCAGCCGAGTCCAGGAATGCAAAGCATGCCATACTGAGGTTGTAAATGCCATCTTTGTGTTAGAGATTAAGCCAAAGTTTTATTAATTTGCCAGGAGAAGTTGGGCAGCACATGGTTTCAGCATCCGTCTGGCTTGAAAGCTGTCTGGCTGAAACAGATTAATGTTTGCGGGTTTTCCTAGGCCCTTTTCTGTCCCCGCCCGGTGCATGGTGCTTGGAGAGACACCTGGCTGATGTGGAAAATCGAGCAAGTTTGCGTTCCATGAGATGATTGAAGCATTGTGTGCGGTGCTGCTGGTGGTTTTCTCCCTCAGTGAGGCTGGGCTGCGTGCCCTGATTCCCACAGCCCTTTCGTCACGGGAAACCAGAGGGTGGAACTGCCTCTTTCCTACTGCTGTCCTTCTGCATGGCAACCCAGGGACGCTGCAGTGTCCAAGAGGAGAGAGCCACCTGCAGCCCGTCTCACAATCTGTGCATGGGGGCAGAGTGCGTTTAATGACAAAGGGTGAAGCGGGGTGAAAGGCAGCCTTTGCCACTAATCCAGAGGCCGAGAGGATGGCGTCCTGGTCTCCAGGGTCATTGCCGCATCTGTGGAATGCAGCCTGCAGAGCCAGAGGACGTTCCTGGGGTTGCCCCCCGAGACTCAGTGATAGATGACATGCTAAGAGCTGGTGGATGTGGCTGTCCTGGGAGCTGAGGCCAGGGTTCTTCAGAGGCAAGGTGCCACAGGCGTAACCTGCTGCCACAGTTTGGGCTGGGCTTCTGCACGTAGAATGTTGTGAAAAGGATCAACGCAGGAGGCAGGCCAGGTACCATGTCTTGTCACCCCGTTTCTTCCTAGTTCACTCATCTTTACTCTTTGTCACTGGGCTCCCAGTCTTTTCCCAGTTTTTTCCTTCATATAATTGAAGAGAGTGTGGCTCCCTGGAACAAGCGCCCTTGTTAGAAGAAGTTAGGGCCACGTCCAGGTGCAGGACGAAGCTGGGGCCTGCAGTCTGCTCAGGACAGGCCAGTCGCCCCTGAGATGCCCACGTGGTTCCTCTTTCTCACATACTGTCTGTATGACCTGCACTTGACCTCTGTGTGCTTCAATTTCCCATCTATGAAGCGGGGATAAGAGGACTCAGTTATAGGTCGTTGTGAGGATTAAGTGAGTCATGTAAATTACTTTGAGTTGTACCTGGTGCATAATAAATCATATACAAGTTGGCTTCAATACAATATATTATATACAAGTTGGCCTTTATTATTATGCATGCTTTCTTCTTAAAAGATCTGGGTAATGTGTCTACTTTTGAAATTATTGGAGATTATTTTGATTTGATAATTTTACAAAACTCATTAAAATAACTCTATAGATACTTTGTGATGTTGTATTAATGGTGTCAGGGGTCACTAGTGTGTGTCCAATGGGCAATTAGTTAATCTCAGGTGATTTTCAACTTGAAGGTTAAAAAACCACCACCCTGTCAGTCAGAAGAGTGAGGTACTAGTCTTGAGTCTTTCACCACTTAGCTGTGTGACTTTGGGCAAGTCACTGAACCTCTCTGAGCTTTTGTTTTCTTACCTGTAAAATGAAGACTCTGATGTTTGCCCTGCCTACCTCACAGGGTTCTGGTGAGGATGAAATGAGGTGTCTGTTTTGCAGGCCGTAAGTCCTGAACATATGTAGAGATTGTTATTATTAATCTAATAACAGTGGCCACCTTCTGAGCTTGTCATTGCCTAATGTCTCTCTTTCTGCTCACCCGTCATCAGTCCCCTGAGGCATCCAGCAGATGACCCTGGCGCAGTGCGAGGGTGAAGGCCCAGTCCAGAGAGTGTGGGAGTGTGCGGGCGGGCAGAGCCAGCATGCCCCTCACTAGGTTCCTAGAAGTCTTCGCTGCTGTTGGAGACTCCCAGTTCCTCACAGACAGGCCAGGGGTCTCTGCATGGGGCCTGGCCAGATGTGGTGGGGACGCCCAATCAAGACTGCCAGCTGCATCAGGGAGGCGAGGCCGCAGGAAGAATCCTCCAGTGCTGCTTAGACGTTCTGGCTCCGGGTTGTGCGGTCCTGGGTTCAGATCCTGGCTCCACCAGAGACCAGCTGTGTGAGCCTGGGGTTCTTAACCTCTCCAAACCTCAGCTCTTCATCTTTAAAGTGGGAATTGTAGCCGTCCCTCGCTCCTTGAACTACAGTGAGGATGAATGGTCGTAGTGGTGTAATGTGTTCGGTCTGGACGGTCGTATCAGATGGAGCTGAGACCGTGAGCTCCTGGAGGCTGGGGGCGGTTCTCCTTCAGCTGTGTGTCCAGCACCCGCCACAGTCCAGGCACAGGCCAGCGCTCAGTAACTGGCTGGAACAAAACTGAATAGGATGAGGGGGGCTCGGGTATGGCATTTCCCAGTCCCTTTTCAGGACCAACAAGAGGCGAGGCTGGGCACGTGGGTTCAGCCAGAATGTGAAGGCCTCGAGTGCCTTGCCAAAGAGTGTGGGTGCCATGAAATGTTTTTAGTGAGGGAGTGACAGGACCTGATGTAGTTTTAAGGGGGACCAGTTTGGAGGCTTGTCAAGGCTGGGCCTGGAAAGGAACCCAATGGAAGCAGTAAGACCAAGGCAGGAGTCAATTAAACAGTGGGCCTGGAGAGAAAAGATCAGCTTCTAAAAACATTTCAGTTGAATCATTTGGTGACCAGTTGGTTGTGGGAGGAGCAGACGATTCAGTATTCTAGGAACATTATCTAGTCATCTGCCAAAGGCGCCATTCTACTTCACCACGTTAGGGGAGGGAAATGAACAGACGCTATTTCAGAAACACGTTCCCAGATGCCGCATGGAATGTCGGTTACCACGGGGTCAGGGTCAGCGCTCAGAGAAGAGGCCGTGGTGACGACAGTGCCCAGAGTGAGCCTCCCAGGGGCCTGGGGGAACCGTCCATGGCAAAGCTACAGACTGCTTGAAATAAGGGAGCCCTGCTGGGTTCAGCAATAAAACTCCCCCTTTCCTGAGCCTCGGCAGTGAGATCTGGAGGGTCGGCCACAGTCCTGGACTGTTGCGTCTGGCAGGAGGCTTCCTGTCACACTTCTGAACTAAATGCGCTGCTGAAGGAGGTGCTCTGGAGCCTGTCAAGTTTTGATAGAACCCAAATGGTGGAGCTTGGGTTTCATCTCCAAATTTTCTTGAAGAGAATCACTGATGTCCGTTTTGCCTGGACTATGATTAGTAGGAAGGAAACCATGTTAACCAATATGGATGGAGCACTTACCCTGTGCCAGGTTAGCTGAATGCTGGACTTGAAGTTGCTTACTTAATCCACACAGCATCCCTTTGAGGAGGTTAAATATCACTCTCACATACATGCACATTTGATCCTGTTTACATGATGACATCTCCTTTTTACAGATGAGGAGACCCATGTGCAGAGAATTGCATAACTGATAAGTGGTGGAGGCAGGGTCTGAACCCAGTCTGTCTGCTTCTGGAGCTGCTTCTCTTCACCCCCCTTTTCCTGCCTCACCTCTGTCTTGTGCTGCGCTGGGGGGTAAAGCAGAATAGAGATGCTCCCGGGAATTGTTTGAAGACGCCTCCTGGTTTTTATTGCCCCACTCATAGATGTCTGTTGGGTTTTGCTTGCAGTTGCCCTGTTCACTGGGATTTCAGAGGTGTACAATAAAAGCCTTGTTAATTTCCCGGTAATGAATTATAGGAGAGCCAGCCGGCTTCAGGGTGGCGTCTGGATTAAAGAGTGCTTCCTGGAACTCCGTGTTATTATTAATGGCTATACTGTCTCACAGGTGGTGGCCTGTTCCTCTCCCTCTGCTGTGACTCCCTTTAAGACAGGGCGGTGGGGAAAAGAAGATACGGTTATCTTCATTTCTCAGATGAGAAAGTTGAGGTTCAGAGTTCAAGTGTTTTGGCAAAGTCACACACCTCTTGTTACACATAAAGCTATGTGAGCGTGGAGTTAAGGGATGACAAAATAGTTCCAGGCAAGAGATGATCCAGGACCTGTTTAACATAGCAGTTACAAGTTTCTAATAAGCACTATCCAGTGACTTAAAATTAGTGATCTAAAATCCTTGAAAAAGAAAAGAAAAAGAAAAGAAAGTTCTTGATAGAAGTTTGTTCTCAAAAATGTATTTGCATCTTGTTTACACTATTCATTTTTCTGAGTAAATCTTATCTGTGGAGATCCTATGGCTAGGTGGAATTAACACGGATTCTGCTTTTGCAGAGACAGAAATTAGGATGGAGATGTGAGTTAACTCTTGTTCTTCCGAAAGCTAAGTATGGTTCTGCCACGTGCACTTTCCCGCCCGTCTTCTCTAAAAGCTGTCATTCGAGTCACACTTTGCCAGAAATATGACTGCAAATCTGTTTCCTCTTTGTAGCCTGTGCAAGGCTTTGATTATGCCAAGCAGCACCTGGGCCAGCAAGGGGCGGACGAGGAGGTCGTCCCTGTGACTCAGGAAACTGTAGTCCTCCCACTGCCCATTAGAGACGCTCCTGCCTCTCAGGAAAGGGACGTTGCCCAGGACGGAAGCACCATCAAGACGGCCAAGTCCACCGAAACCAGAAAGAGGTAGGCCTGGGCCAACTGCTGCCTGTGCATGTCAGCAGGGGCATCACTGATGCCGGGAGCAGCCGAAGCCCTCGTGTTAATTCCACTGTTTGCTTTAAAGATTCCCCTTCATGCTCGTTTTGACTATTTGAAAAGGAGAGTAAGGGAGAAGACAAGAATCACAATGGCTGTTTCTCGTGAGACGCCCTTTGTAGGGTTTATATTGCTGATCAGCTGCAACAGGAGAAATTTGTCTCTTCCGTTTATTATAACAAATTTGGCACTGACATCACTCTTGTATTCTCTAAGTTATCTTGAAAGCAATGCCTTTGGTTCATTATGGTTGTATTTTGTCTGGCAATTTTTCAGTAGTTTATGGTTCTGGTACGAAAGTCATTTATTGAGTTTTTACTATAAGCAGAGCACTTCGACAGGCCTTGGGAGGATTACAAAAAGGTTTACAATGATTCCTGACTCCAGGGATCTCATGATGGAAAGACAGAGAGAGAAATAGCTGGAATAGCACGCAGGACATGCTGGTGCCCACAGGGAGCCCGGGCGAAGTGTGGTGGGAGAGAGAGGAGAAGAACGGGACTCTGATGAGGGAGAGTGTCATGGGGCTTGTGGTTTTTGTTTTTTAATTGAGATCATAATAGTTTATAACATTGTGAGATCTTAGTTGTACATTATTTCTTGTCTGTCACCACATAAGTGCTGGTAACCACTGATCTCTTCTCTTTGTCTGTGTGTTTGTTTATCTTCCACATGTGAGTGAAATCATATGGTTTTTGTCTTTGTCTGGCTTATTTTGCTTAACATCATAGCCTCAAGGTCCATCCATGTTGTTGCAAATGGGACAATTTTGTCTTTTTAATGGCTGAGTAGTACTCCATTGTATGTATATACTACATCTTCTTTGTCCAGTCATCAGTCGCTGGGCACTTGGGTGGCTTCCACATCTTGGCTATTGTGAAGAGTGCTGAAATGAACATAGGGGCGCATAAATCTCTGGGAATCGTTGATTTCAAGTTCTTTGGATAGATACCCAGTCGTGGGATAGATGGGTCGTGTGGTATTTCTATTTTTAGTTTTTCTTTTTTAAAGATTTTATTTTTTTCCTTTTTCTCCCCAAAGCCCCCCAATACATAGTTGTATATTCTTCATCGTGGGTCCTTCTAGTTGTGGCATGTGGTACACTGCCTCAGCGTGGTTTGATGAGCAGTGCCATGTCCGCGCCCAGGATTCGAACCAATGAAACACTGGGCAGCCTGCAGCAGAGCGCGCAAACTTAACCACTTGGCCACGGGGCCAGCCCCTCTATTGTTAGTTTTTTAAGGAATCTCCATACTGTTTTCCATAGTGGCTGCACCAGTTTGCATTCCCACCATCAGTGAATGAGGGTTCCCTCTTCTCCACATCCTCTCCAACATTTGTTGTTTTTTGTCTTAGTGATTATAGTCATTCTAACAGGTATAAGGTGTTATCTTAGTGTAGTTTTGATTTGTGTTTCTCTGATGATTAGTGATGTTGAACATCTTTTCGTGTGCCTGTTGCCCATATGTATATCTTCTTTGCAGAAATGTCTGTTCATCTCCTCTGCCCATTTTTTGAGGTTATTTGTTTTTTTGTTGTTCAGTTGTGTGAGTTCTTTATATATTATGGAGATTAACCCCTTGTCAGATGTATGATTTGCAATTATTTTCTCCCAGTTGGTGGATTGTCTTTTTGTTTTGATCCTGGTTTCCTTTGCCTTGCATAAGCTCCTTAGTCTGAAGTCCCACTTGTTTATTTTTTCTTTTATTTCCCTTCTCTGAGAAGACATGGTATTTAATAAGATCCTTTTAAGATTGATGTCAAAGAGTATACTACCTATGTTTTCTTCCAGAAGTTTTATGGTTTCAAGTCTTACCTTCAAGTCTTTGATCCAATTTGAGTTAATATTTGTGTATGCAGAAAGATAGTGGTCTACTTTCATTATTTTCCATGTGGCTGCCAGTTTTCCCAACACCATTTACTGAAGAGACTATCTTTTCTCCATTGTGCATTCTTAACCCCTTTGTGGAAGATTAGCTGTCCATAGATGTGTAGTTTTATTTCTGGGCTTTCAATTCTGTTCCATTGATCTGTGTGTCTGTTTTTGTACCAGTAACATGCTGTTTTGATCACTGTGGCTTTGTAGTACGTTTTGAAGTCAGGGATTGTGGTGCCTCCAGCTTTGTTCTTTTTTCTCAGAATTCCTTTAGCTATTCAGGGTCTTTTGTTGCCCCATAGGAATGTTAGGATTCTTTGTTCTATTTCATTGGGATTCGGATCGGGATTGCATTGAATCTGTAGATTGCTTTGGGTAGTATGGGCGTTTTAACTATGTTTATTCTTTGGATCCATGTGCATGGAATATCTTTCCATTTCTTTATGTCATCATCGATTTCTTTGAATAATGTCTTATACTTTTCATTGTATAGGTCTTTCACCTCCTCGGTTAAATTTGTTCCTAGATATTTTATTCTTTGTGTTGCAGTTGTAAGTGGGATTGTATTCTTGAGTCCTTGTTCTGTTAGTTCATTATTTGACTATAGAAATGCAACTGATTTTTCTAAGTTGATTTTGTATCCTGCAACTTTAATGTAGTTGTCGATTATTTCTAATGGTTTTCCAATGGATTCTTTAGAGTTTTCTATGTATAAGATCATGTCGTCTGCAAACAGCAAGAGCTTTACTTCTTCGTTTCCTTTTGGATTTCTTTTTCTTTCCTAATTTGTCTGGCCAAAACCTTCAGTACTATGTTGAATAAGAGTAGTGATAGCGGGCGTTCTTGTCTTCTTCCTGTTCTCAGAGGGATGGCATTCAGTTTTGCCCCATTGAGTATGATGTTGGCTGTGGGTTTGTCATATATGGCCTTTATTATGTTGAGGTAATTTCCTTCTACCCCCGTTTTGTTAAGAGTTTTTATCATAAATGGCTGTTGGATCTTGTCAAATGCTTTCTCTGCGTCTATTGAGATGATCATGTGGTTTTTATTCTTTATTTTGTTAATGTGTTATATCGCATTGATTGATTTGCAGATGTTGAACCATCCCTGTGTCCCTGGTATAAATCTCACTTGATCATGATGTATGATCTTTTTGATGTATTGCTGTATTCAGGTTGCCAATATTTTGTTGAGAATTTTTGCATCTATGTTCATCACCGATATTGGCCTATAGTTTTCCTTTTTTGTGTTGTCCTCGTTAGGCTTTGGTATCAGCGTGATGTTGGCCTTGTAGAATGCGTTAGGAAGCGTTCCATCTCCCCTAATTCTTTGGAATAGCTTGAGAAGGATAGCTATTAAATCCTCTTTGAATGTTTGATAGAATTCACCAGGGAAGTTGTCTGGTCCTGGCCTTTTGTCTTTTGGGATGTTTTTGATTACTGTTTCAATCTCTTTCCTTGTGATTGCTCTATTCAGATTATCTGTTTCTTATTGATTCAGTTTTGGGAGCTTGTAAAAGTCTAAGAATTTATCCATTTCTTCTAGATTGTCCAATTTGTTGGCATATAGCTTTTCATAGTATTCTCTTATAATCGTTTGTATTTCTGTGGTATCCATTGTGATTTCTCCTCTTTCATTTCTAATTTTATTTATCTGAGCTTTCTCTCTTTTTTCCTTTGTAAGTCTGGCTAGGGGTTTGTCAGTTTCATTTATCTTCTCAAAGAACCAGCTCCTTGTTTCATTGATCCTTTCTACCATCTTTTTTGTTTCAATTGCATTTATTTCTGCTCTGATTTTTATTATTTTTCTCCTTCTGCTGACTTTGGGCTTTGTTTGCTCTTCTTTTTATAATTCAATTATGTGTAATTTGAGATTGCTTATTGGGGATTTTTCTTGTTTGTTAAGGCGAGCCTGTATTGCAATGAATTTCCCTCTTAGGACCACTTTTGCTGTATCTCATATGAGTTGGTATGGGATTGTTTTCATTTTTATTTGTCTCCAGGTGTTTTTTGATTTCTCCTTTAATTTCTTCAAGGATCCATTGGTTGTTCAGTAGCCTGTTGTTTAGTCTCTACATCTTTGTCCGTTTCTCAGCTTTTTTCTTGTAGTTAATTTCTAGTTTCATAGCATTGTGGACAGAAAAGATGCTTGTTATTTCAATCTTCTTAAATTTATTAAGGCTTGCCTTGTTTCCCAACATATGGTCTATCCTTGAGAATGTTCCACGCACACTCGAGAAAACGTGTATTCTGCTGTTTTTGGATGGAATGTTCTATATATGTCTATTAAGTCCAACTACTCTAGCTTTTCCATTTAATTCCACTGTTTTCTTGTTGATTTTCTGTCTGGATGATCTATCCATTGATGTAAACGGAGTGTTGAGATCTCCTACTATTACTGTGTTATCATTAATGTCTTCTTTTAGGTTTGTTAATAGTTGCTTTATGAACTCTGGTGCTCCTGTGTTGGGTGCATAGATATTTATAAGTGCTATGCTGCCTTGGTGGAGTGTCCCTTTGATATTATACACTGCCCCTCTTTGTCTCTCTTTACCTGTCTTATCTTGAAGTCTGCTTTGTCTGATGTAAGTATGGCAACACCTGCTTTCTTTTGTTTGCCATTAGCCACCCCTTCACTCTGAGCCTGTGTTTGTCACTGGAGCTGAGATGTGTTTCCTGGAGGCAGCTTATTGTTGGGTCTTGTTCTTTAGTCCGTCTCGCCTCTCTGTGTCTTTTTATTGGAGAGGTCAGTCCATTTACATTTAAAGTGATTATTGATATGTGAGGGCTTAGTGCTGCCATCTTATCACTCGTTTTCCAGTTCTCCCGCATTTCCTTTGTTTCTCATCCTGTGTATTTCGGACTACCAATTCAGTTAGGTAGTTTTTTATGCTGGATTTCTTAGTTTTCTCCTGATTTATTATTTGTGACTCTGATCTACTTTTTTGTTTAGTGGTTACCATGAGGTTTGTGTGCAAAATCTCATAGATGAGATAGTCCATTTTCTGGTGGCCTCTTACTTCCTTAGACTAAGCCTGCTCAGTCCCTCTTGT